GCAGTAACACGTGCATGCTTTTACCAGATCCCCCTGTTCCCCTGTCCTGTATAAGTTATAGCTATATAGCCCATACATACACTAATTTTAGCCATCCTCCCCACAACGAATCCCCTCTATTCGTTTTTCACTCTCTCTAGGAGCAGTAACTTCTTGACTTCATGACTTTTTTACTATTCTCGACAGGTTAGTCTGTGATCCAAAAAATTGATCAATGGATCCTGCTGCGACACACCTAATTTTAGCCTGGATTTTGTGACTTCTCTTTCTTACTATTCCAAAATGCACAGGAAAGGTCAACGACGAAGCAGAAGAAGGTGGCTGCCAAAGTATATACTACAACATGTACCGCAAATTATGAAATAAATTGAATGAAAGGGATAGCTAAAAGTCAGCATTGTGGTTGCAATAAAGCACTTCTTCAACACCAAACAATAAAGGGATACTCGATAGCCTCGGCATGTTTATTCTAGCCGCTAGAAGGCGAGGATCGAGAATGGATTCAAGGGTATAGATCCTAGAAAGCACAAGAAGTGCCTTGTGCGATAACACAGAGCTCTTTTTTCTACTTTTTTTTCCCTCGTAATAACAGTAAGATTTCTTTTTTTTTTTTTTTTTTTTTTTAGAAACGCGACCAGATATAACCTTATTAGGCCGGATGAACGCCACTAAAATCCTTAAAACAGTCTATTCTACATATTAACTTATTGCAAATGTATAGTAATTACTCCTTCTACCAGGATGCAGTCCCTTCAAGGCGTTCCCCAAAGTCTTTTTTTTTTCTTCTTTTTTTTCCTTCATCTGTGCAACTCCTCACATTTATGCTCATATCGCTCTATCTCTTGGCAAAATGGCTCATAACAGCCCGCGCATACACAATGCATTGATGACTGCGAGCTGGTCGGATCCTATCCTCCAAAAAAGGCAAATTACGATAAAAGCGCAGCTAATTCAATAATATCTTTTTTCTTTAATTATTTTCATTAACCTTATTGTCTTGAAAAGGGATCAAGAAGAGAATTACGAGATTAGTCCGGAACTGCATCCCCCAATTCTCTTTAATATTTGCAGAGCAAGAAAATCCCGTCAGTCATTAGAGGACTGGCAGAAAATATACTGCAATCGACGCTATATCCGTATTTCAAGTCCACTACACATTCGATTTGCTTGAAAATGCCGGATCTCCTCAAATGAGGTTAGAGTCGTTTCTGAATCTGAAAAGCTAAAGAACAAATTATATCAATAACCCTTAGTCAAAACATTCAAATCTTTTTTACAGAAGGTTTTCAAGGATAAAAGCTCATTGCGACCGAGTGAAAAGATCGAGCTATGAAGAGGACGCAAATAAAGAACAGTGGGTCGTCTATCCAGAAGTATTTTTATTAGATCCGAAGGGAAACCGGCAAATCGTACATTTCATAGGTCTTTGCTGTCTAGAAAAAAAAAATCATTTTGCCTTTACTTTCTCTGTATCGAACAGTCGTGCCTTTGCTACTTGAAGCAATGTGCTGGTCATCACTAGAATTAGAAGCGACGAGTATATAGTCAGCGCGGCCTTCAGGCCGTAGGCAATACGGCTTCTGACTTAGTATCTACCATAGCAATGGGTGCTTCACGGTTTCCAACAACCGCCAGTTGTCTGGATAGCGAAAATGCTAACTGTCCTGGAGTATCATCGGTGTATGTTTCAAAACTGAGCTTACCTGTTTCTGAGCTCCGTATTTGCAACGAATGTACTGCGCTTAATAGATGCTATATTCTGACTGTCAGGCGAATAAGCCAAATAAGGCGCATCAAGCCACACACAAGAGTACGCTGCCCAGACTCTAATCCAACCGGTTTCATTATAAGAAGCAATTTGGTGACCATTAGGTGAGAATACCATACAATCCACATGACTGCCGCCCCCTGTATGGCGCGTATGAGTTGCCCTGTCTGCACGCTCCACACACTCATGGCCCCATTTCCATGACCATAGGCAATTTGTTGGACAATAGGTGAAAAATCAAAACTACGAATCCGATGCTGAAAACGAACAGCTTGGCCTAACTCAGTAACCCAAAGATAAGGGCGGACATCCGAGTCTGAGAAGCCTCCCAGAATATGAGTAGCCAAGTGACATCCGAAGCTCCAAGCAATGTCTAAAAGTGTTTAGAAGGCAAGTTGTTGTCATGATAGTTCATTTTAAAGAATATGCTGATAAATAGATACCAGACTTAATCGAGGAATATAATAAAAAGTATTTGGCTTCAAAAAACCGTGATCCTTTTGTGGACCAGACAGTCTATTAGGGTTGAGTAAATCTCATTTGTGAAAGACGCTGATGTATCTGAGGATAAACATGGTAGTGATGCAACTGGCCAACTTATCTCTTCGTCCGTAAGAAGGGCAAATCTACCATTATAAATGGGCTTGAAATCCAGCAATCCATAGGCATTGTCTCGAAATTTTATTTCGACGTCGAAATAAATGACCGAAAACTAAACTGTTATAGAGCTATCCTGGCTTCTTTATTTGTGCAAAAAAAAAAACTCATGAAGACTTTCGCATGACCCTAGCATCCGCTTGGGAGCCCATTGTATCGCTTATTTATTGACTAGTGTAATAGCAGTGATAGTATTCGCCGCCGTAGTATAGACTTGAAAGGAGGACAATCTGAGTTGATTCATTCTACCGCACCATGGAACTTGACTAACTTGATCTTTCCCTGTACAACTCGGCGAGACTTAATTTGTCACAGCATTTGCTTCCTCGTCTTCCTGCGTTCCCTAGATATATCTGGGTTGGTAAATACTGCTAATAGAGTTTGTTGGGCCTGTTGAAACCAGAGGGAGCCACACCAACATATCAAGGCGCATACCGACCTCTCTTTTAGACGGTTTTATCAATTATAAGCCTACTACTTAATAAACTTTTTGTAATTGATAGCGGACTAAACAAAAATGGCATCGGTATGAGTCTCTAGTTTTGGCAGGTCAACTTATCTATGACCGTTTATTAATCTCAGAAAGCCTTGGGCTTATCATGATGGTGGTTTCCGCGAGTCCTTGCTCTCGTACGATATTGACCCGGCCCAACCTTCCATGTCATTGTAACTTACTCAAAGGTCTGCGGCGCGGTGTATGAATAACTGATGGAAAATTTTGATAAGGTTATGTCCTGCAACAACTCTAATTAACGCTTGTTCTCCAGATACTGAACTGCTGCCTTTCTCAGTTTTACCATAGGTTAGACCTTCATTGTGTGTGTATCGTTTTTAAATTCCTTTTTATATACTTTCAATGATGATGTTTCTAATTTTATTTTTACTTTCTTAACTGTGCTGAACAAGACTTTTAGGACGTCAAAGACGGCAAATTGCCAAAAGAACAACTCAGCTTTATGCTTCCAAGCAGTGTTTCGTACTGATGTACCTCCCATACCTGAATTCGGTAAAATAAACCGATTGTGGCGTACAAAATTTACCTAACATCGGTTTTTGCAAAAGTAAAAAATCGTTAAGTTACTTACCGGTTTCTTACCTCTGCGATACTGGTTTCTTACCTCTGTGATACCGATTTCTTACCTCTGTGATACCGCTTTCTTACCTCTGCAAAAAGTTTACTCCAAAAATGGATAGCAATCTCTTCTGGTTTGCATGATAATTTATGGCGACATGAAGGGCAATTCTGATCGCAGCATTCCTAAATCCTGCCTTCACTCACCACTCGATGTTCAGTTGTGAGAGCCAGGATGATGTTTCTGACGATGGTGCCAGCATGAAATATGCCAGGATCATAATAAGTAACGAGAACGAAAGAAAGATGTTTATTATGATCTGGGGATCTTCGTTAAATAAAAAGGGTAAAAATCTTAGCTATAGTAAAAACCCATGTAAATGACTGCTAATCGCAACACAGCACCGGACCGGAAACCCTTGGGAGCAAAGTCGAACACCTTATCTGCCAAGCTCAGAAGCGCATGTTAGATAGTGGTATGCGACTCTACCTTGACGATGTCTGGAGCTATGAGGCTCACACCCGCCACTTGCAGTTCCGTATTACAGAATACAAGTTATTAACTGAAAGCACAGTGGAGGCGTGCCAGGAATACAAGAGTAGCCTGGTGAGCTGGTGGTCCCACAATCACTACAATGTGGGGTCCTTAGCTCCAATTGTCCGCGTATGTATGAGCGTCCAAGCCACGTCGGTCGCAAGTGAACGGCTGTTCAGTACTGCAGGGAATATCCTAACTGACAAAAGAGCTAGTTTAAGTTCTTATGTTTTCACCAGGATGGCGCTTTTCAAGTCGACATACCCAGTCGTCAAGCACTTGAACTAGAGGCTTACCATTTTTAATATCAATAAGCAAATTAGGATTGGATTTTTCATTTCATAACGAGATAAGAAATTATAACAAAAGTTTTTTTTTTTGTTCTGACGTGTATACCATGTATATATAAGAGCCAAGCGCAAGTTATGCATATATAGGGACCCAGCATATACATGCAAATAAGAAGAAGCTGTTATCCATTTTTGGAGTAAACTTTTTGCAGAGGTAAGAAATCGGTATCATAGAGGTAAGAAACCGGTATCGCAGAGGTAAGAAACCGGTAAGTAACTTAACGATTTTTTACTTTTGCAAAAACCGATGTTAGGTAAATTTTGTACGCCACAATCGGTTTATTTTACCGGATTCAGGTATGGAGGTACATCAGCACGAAACACTGCTTCCAAGGACCAAGGATGGGCGCTATCCTTCCTAGTGACCACAGCTTCAAGAAAGGTGACTCTTTGAGAGCATGAGCCAATATAAAGGACCAGCGCGTCTGTGTCGATACGATTTGTTTTCGACAGGGCAGACTTGTTCTCTTATGTCTTCTCCATCATTATCGTCCATGCGCTTGTACTTCCAGACGGCGCTACAGGCACACCCAGATTCTGTGCTACGAAATACTAAATTCCAAATGTGACTTTTTAGAAGGTTTTTTGAGTGGTTTTTTTTATATACACTTGCGTGTGCTACAACAATTAACAATCAGATGCCACCATAATTCAACCTGACATTTTCCTTTCTCACTCTTACTTTGTCCATTCAAACACTCGACCGAATAAGAAAACCAAAAAAATAAGAAATAAACATAATGGTAGAGGCAATGGTCAACACATCAAAAAGCAATGGCATTCAACTCGATGAGGAAACACGTAATCATGAGATCGTCTCTAGTTTACGTGGGTTTCTGAAGCACCAAACGTAAAGGAATAGAAAAAAGGAAAAAAAGGAAAAAACCTCAATATGTATATATTTTCTTTTTTATAACCGGATATTCCACATGTATTTTTTTTTACAATAGGGAACGTGTATCACTCTACAAAGAGTTTAATGAGTAAATACTATCGATCATGGGGCGACATCGTTTTTGTTTTTTTTATGTCAATGTTAAACTGACATGTCATAAGGAATTCTCATGTCTATTATTAACAGTGCTTTCAAGGAATACACAGCCAAACGTTTGTCAGCAGAGGAATACGCGACGATCTGTAATATAGTCACTCAAGGATTTGTGGAGCTATCGGTTGAGATTTTGGCCTTGGAGGCGCACCTTGGCGGACCTAACTATTCTGCCGCCATGACCTCTGCAGCTACATCAACACCAACATTAACAGAAGCAGCAGTAGCAACAACAACAACAACCACTACTACTACTACTACTACTACTAATACTACAGCAACACGTCAGCAAGTTTCATTAAATTCTCCAGAACATGCACAATTGATCCGTCAGGTTCAACTGCTGGAGAAGCAAAAGTTGACCTTGACAGTCCAGGGACAGAAAATGTTTTTAGAAAAGGAAGCACAAGAGGCACAGGACATGAAGGATCGAGAAGCTGAATTGAAGGACGACCGTATTATTGGAGATGGAGATGAAGATGGAAACTGGAATAGAAATGGAACCGGGAGCAGAAACGGAAACGAGAATGAAGAGAGAAACGGAAACAAACACAGGGATGAGGACTTTAAAGGTAACATTGGGTCAGATGTAAAGGAGACAACAGATGTTTATGGTAACGGAGAACATCAGCCGGCTGCAAGTCCTGTCAAGGTATCGGTAGAGGAATGGCAGATCAAATTGGATGACAATCGAGACAGGTAAAAAAAAAAAAAAAAAAAAAAAAAAAAAAAAAAAAGGATTGCTTATTTTCAATTTTTCCTTATTATAAATGAGAAATGATGTGATGAGGTCCGTGTATTGACAATCTTTATCTTTAAAATGTAATATTTCTTTTAGACTGAATGAGATTGTGGAGGAGATTAATGACAAGCTGGCGGATATTCAAGAAGCTATTGCAGTTCTTGTCTTGTGATGAACGATGATATACAATGATAGATGGAGAATAAAAGATAGAAAAATGAGGAGATGTGTATCTCTTCATATTCTTATCAACCATTCAAAAGATGTGTCCATCAAAAAAAGAAGAAAAGCACAGATTGTTCCGTGCTCGCGTGACCAAAAAGGTCGATTTTTTTTTTTTATTTTATTTTTTTATTGTGTCACCGAAAATGGATAAAATTAAGCCGAGTGCCTAGAAATTCCAAAGTTACCGAACATCAAAAAAGTTCTGTCAATCCAGCTTGTCCTGTGTGCGACATTTTTTTTTTTTTCCTTCATCTATTGTTGAATAGAGTTGAGATGTATGAAAGACAATATCTTCTCACGCCCTCCATCTAAACACCCTTTTTTTTGGGTGAATAAAAAAAAAACCCTTCTCTTCATGCATCCCAGTAATGACGATGTTGTGCAATGCGTTATTTTTTTCTTGTTATGCTCAAAATATCTATCAAATAACGCATGTATATGTATATACAAAGCAGTTAAACCTGTAGATATTTAGGGAAAGCCCTTTATTTCTACTATGGGGAATCTTGATTGATAAATAGGAAGAGATTTCTTTAACATTGCAAGAGTGTTAGCGGCTTCTATTGATAAATATCTCGTTTTGCTAATGGATAAAGACATCTGAAAGATGTACGCACATCATAGATCTTCATTCTGCATGGTTACAAAAAAAAAAAAGCTCAACAGATAGTAAAGTTACCGAGGCAAAAAAAAAAAAATCCCTCGAATTCGATTTTAAGAGTGGAATGCGGGGAGGGGGAATAATCCAAAGAGGTCCATACTCTCAACAGACTAAGGGAGAATTAGACTGACATTTCACATCATCTGCTGTACATGACAAATGCTATCGTATTTTCACTGGCGGGATTGAAATGCCCTTGTGCCGTTTATTTTTGTTGCGTTTATACACATGAATAAGTTTAGTTCAATCGGGCGCTTACATGAATGGCGAATACATGGACAACATTCGGTATGAGAAAAAGAAAAAAGAAAAAAGGAAATAAAAAAAAGAAGCTGTATATAATCAATTAACCACGTTTTTTTTTTTTTTTTAGTCCTTTTGTCCACCTCTGGATGTTTTTGTCCCTGTGGGTAACCAGAGGATGTACATGTAGAAAGGGTTGTTGGCACAAGTGGAGATGTCCTTCCCAAAGCAAGAAGGGATTGCCATTGAATTGATAAATTGTATTGAATAAAGATAAAGAATAAATTTTATTTTTTTAAAAAAGATCGAATTTCCCGGTATTCCATTCTCACATCGTTTTATAATTCATTTACCCAGAATAGTTTAACCACAATAACCGTTCTTGTTCCTGAGGCAATTACATTGAATACGACTGAATACCCCTTTCTTATACATCCCCACACGATGACATGTAACATGTATACACTGCACTGCATCCATTTGCACGTTGAGACATTGGCACATTGGCACATTGACAAACAATTGTCTATCTAAATCGCATATCCCACCCATTGTACATCCAGTCTGTACATGTACATCCTCTCTTCCCTGGGTCCCCCCTCTCTTTTGTTATTTCGTTATCTGTTTGTTTGTGGATGTATTTCTTTTTTCTTTTTTTTTTTTCTCTCTCTTCTCTTCTCTTCTTTTTTTCTTTTGAATCCAACTTCCTTCTTTTTCTTCTTCTTCTCTTCTCTTCTCTCCTACCCTCTCTTCTCCTCCCTTTACATTCTCTCTTCTTTCTCTCTCTTTCACCTTCGTCAACTAGCCAGCCATGGGTCTCTTTGACAAATTCTTTGGCGTCATTCCTCCCGCCGCCGGTGCTATGGGCCTTGGTGTCCTCTACACCATCATCGGCCTTGTCTTTGCCATCTTGAGCTTTGGTCGCTGTAAGTCCTTCCTCTATTTACTCACACCTGCATTCTATCCATCACCCAACAATTCCGTCCCCACACAAGCGTCCTTACTCCTTGTTCTATCTATACCCATGGAGAAATACCTTGCTGTTTCAAGGCAAGAGCATGGCTTATGAGAAAGAAAAAAAATAATAATGCATGCATAGCATGGATTATTTGATCGACTTTGATTGAAAAATAAGGGACTTGCTCAGTACATGCCATCTTGATAAATCCATCATTCATCTTTACTCTCCCATCCTCCTTGACTGTCTTAATCAATCTTGCATTTTCATTATCTCCTCTTCATGGATCTTTCTTTTCTTTTTAAATACTTCTGTGTTCTCTCCTTTTGAGACTCGATAATCTTAACATGTCCAGTATTTCATTCCTGGACAGTTTGCTGTATAATCACACATGGTGCATAATAAAATAGGGAAGGGAGGTATGGAGAGAGGCTTTTCTCCCTCCTTCCTTCACATTGATTTGCCCTAAGGTGCCAGCTTTACTCCGAAATCCATTGATTTTAAATCTCGACAAAACAAAAAAAAACTATAAAAGACGCTTGTTGATTTGTCGCTGGGCAATTTTTTTTTTTTTGGCTCATACATTTTACTCTCTCCACTCCACTCTCCGCTGACAGAAGAAAGACGTGGAGAGGAGGAAGGGTTGCCCTGCCCTTTTTGCATTTTTCTGGGTTTATCGTTACCGACGGAAATTCTTTCCTGTATACACATGTCTGTTACACATTCGACAAACCCAACTCTTTTTACAACCCTATTTCTAAATATGTCCTCAAGATATTGAAAACCTTTTTTTTTCCCACTAACGAAAACATTAAACACGTTTTTTTTTTCTCTAGGGATTATGCCTCATGCTGAGACCGATCTTTACATCCCATGGGGCGTTGTTTGCATTCTTCTCTTTGTCACCGGTATTTACGGAACCTGGGCCACAGCCAAGGTATATCTCTTTTTTATTTTATTATCACTATTATTACGATTGTTTTGATATGTATTCATATTATCTATCCATTCAATCATAACCAAACCTTTTTTTTTTTTTTTTTTTTTTTTTTTTTTTTTCCTACAAATATAGGGCACCACCTGGCACCTTCGCCAATATGTTTCCTTCTCATGGGGTTTCTTGTTGATGTTCCTCTGCTGGGCTGTCGTTTACATCGCTGTTGAGGATAACCACGTCGAAAAGGTGAACGCGGGCTGCATTGAGCTCAACAAGGACAAGAACTGGACAGAGGCGATGTGCAATGAACGTCGCGAGAAGGCTGTTACCATCTCCATTGCCTTGGTCACCATCGCCATGGTCCTTGGCTTCTATTTCACCCTCGTCCTTTCCAAATGGGTCAGCGGACGCGAGTGGGAGGATCACTTGGAGGAGGAGCGTCGTCTTGACCAGTGGCGCAGCGGTCACGGCGAGAAGCCCGGCACTGAGAACAACGTTTAAAAGTCAAAATAGACACCCTTCTCCTTTTGTAGTAGCCGACCTCTCCCCCCTCTCTCTCCATCTACCATTTATTTTTATTTTTTTTTTGTAGACCTTACCTCTGTCAACCATATCATGCTATATTAAAAATAAAATATATTACTAATAGGATGTAGATCAAAAAAAAAAAAAAAAAAAAAAAAAAAAAAAAAAAAGGCTCTAAAACCTCATTCATCAACACAGTTTTATAAACCAAAGCTAAGCTTTCCTAATTGATCATCTACATCAATAGCCAAAGTCCTGTTAACCTTGACTGCCTCTAACAGTGACATGACCTTTTTCTTTTTATCTAAGCTGATGAAACCCAAGTCCAGATGGGTCAAAGTCCTGTTAATCTTTAGTGCCTCTGACAGTGCTGGAGCTCCTATATCCTCAATACCGAAGAGTTGCAATTTCAAAGTGGTCAAACCCGTGTTGATCTTAAATGCCTCCGCTACCGCCATAATCCCTTCCTTTTCAATCGGATTAGACTTCAAATCCAAAGCGGTCAAAGTCGTGTTGGTCTTGAGTGAATTTACAAGTACTCGAAACCTACTAGACCCAATTGAGTGAGATTTCATCTCAAAAGATAACCTGTAAAGGTCTGATCTCCTAGGTTGTAAATAGTCAAGTCTTACGAAATCCTTGGATAGAACGATGTGAATCGTTTTCAAATTGCGAAGCTCAATGATGCGAACAAGAATTTCATATCGCGTAGATAATAAAAGCAATTTCCTGCCAACGCTTTCTTGGAACTGTTCCATATCAAGTCGAAGAGTTGATACACTTGACATCTTCAAGACATCTTTAAATGCTTCGAGATCAGCCTTGGAGCAATCTCAGGCGAATGTGATATCCAAGTCATAAATACGCCTTGCATTGGCTAGGGCATCGAAGAATTCCTCAGCTCTCGTTCTGGATCCCAATGTGATGACCGCTTTACCAAGTTGCTGATCATATTTCCCACCATTCATCTCCACAGCATTTGCAAACGCTTTCTGCTCTTTTTCTTTATATGTCAAACGATAGTGTTCCGAGCAAACCCAATTGACATGACCTGCCTCGGTTGTGATCCTGTACAAGTTGCCAAGTTTCCTGTCTTCGTCGTTACTTCGAAGGAAGGTGCTCAACTGCTGGAGGTCAGCTCCTTCAAGTCCCTCATAGTCATCAATCGTATTGATGTTGTTCAGGACAGGATACTCAACAGAGAGGGCTTTTATATAGTCAATTGAATAATTGATACCAGCATCGATAAAAGGCGAGGCTGGTACCAGGGAAGCAGCGGAGAGCATTCCCAATCTGAGCCATTGTAAAAGGATAAGCATGTGCTTTCCATATTTGCGAAAGAACTCAGTGCTGTCTCGGATTTCATGCCCGTCATGTTTGGCGATATGGATTTGGTTCTGATTGCTCTTGCTTGCCAAGATGGTATAGTTCCCGCATTCACAGAGGAAATGGAGACGAAACTTGTTCCCCAAGACATTCATTGGATTCCATTTGGTGTGGTCGACGGGGAAAATTATAAACAATCGAGGGATTGGATACTCGTGTAGCTCAAAGTTCTGGACAAGGATAGCTTCAGCATGCTTTTGAAGGATAGCAAGTCTGTCGAGGGCTTGATGTTGCAAACTAATAATCAGTTCATCCTTTTCCTTAGCCTCCAGTTGCAGCTTAAGCATCTGGTCGCCTTTGTCTTCAGCCTTTATCAACAATTCCTTAATCTGTTCAAGGTTAGACTTGATCGTCTCGCTTTGTTCGTTGTGGAAAGATTGAGCCAGGCTCGAGAGAGACAAAAGGGGATCCTCAGAGGTGGCCTGGTTTTCCGACTTTTTCAATGTTGACCAATAGGTGAGGGCGTTGTTGTTGCTGGGGTCCGGTATCTTTGTAATGACATCTAGGATCTTATCAGGATAATATGCAATACGCGGGGGTTCAATTCTAGTTGAACAAAACCAACAAGATGAATGCAGTGACCTGTACTGATGTACTGAACATTCGTACTTGAAGTTTTTCAGTAAATTTTTACTTATTATTTACTTAAACATCGGTATATTTCGAGTAAAAATCAGTAAGTATATATATATATGTATATAAGAACCAAGCGCAAGTTATGCATATATAGGGACCCAGCATATACATGCAAATAAGAAGAAGCTGTTATCCATTTTTGGAGTAAACTTTTTGCAGAGGTAAGAAAGCGGTATCGCAGAGGTAAGAAATCGGTATCGCAGAGGTATACAGAGGTAAGAAACCCGTAAGTAACTTACCGATTTTTTACTTTTGCAAAAACCGACGTGAGGTATATTTTGTATGTCAAAAAAAAGGTAAGTCACCAGCTGCGAAAAGTTCTGTCGAATGAATTCCAATAACTATGCAAAAATACGTCGGCTATTTCAACCTGGCGTAATGAAAAAAAAAAAAAAAAAAACTATTGGTCCGATTCACGATTTCAGAGACGCGTCCATCAAATAAAAGCAAACCTCATTTGACGAACGACGGTTTGGCGATTTGGATCCTTCCTTAATGTTGATGCTGTCATTTTTCTTTTTTTTTTTTTTTTTTTTTTTTTTTTTTGCCAAAAACCTTGCACTGTTGACAGCAAAAATCCCATTGCCAAGTTCCATCATTGTCTCCATAGTTTCTCATGAAAAAAAAAGATTGGATGTATAAATACCTCTCTTTTCCCCCACCAAGCTTGCACCTCACTCAGTCACTTTTATGTGCCTGGTGCGTCTCCCCGCGGCGTTGCATCAGCCAGTAGTTCTGGTCCACCACAGGTGCGAATCGGGCGAAAATGTTGCTCCAGCGCTTCAACAAGGCTGATTGTTTGTACTCGTTGATGATTGGTCGGCGGATTGTCAGAGAGTTGCGGGGCCAGCAGGACGCGATAGTCAGACCACCTCCTCGTGGTGCGCCCTGGGCTGTTTGCTTATCTGCAGACAGGCGAAGAGTCTGACACTCTTTATAACTTTTGGTAATAATTATTTCTTTATTTTTTCAAAAAAAATCTCTTTATTCAACAAAGCATTAGCTCGTCCTGCTGATGTACACCTTTCTTTTATCTCCTAGAGCAAAGCTTCCTCGCAGCCATCTTTTTCGAATACAGAAGCGAATGATGAGCTGCTTTGAAGACATAAAGATTTTGGTTGACTATTGTTTGTTAAATAGTTCATTTGAGCAGGATTCAACGAGTGAATGGGCGATTCTGCAACAACGACTGACGCTACGTCGTCTGGCGTACTCTTTTCTGACCATAGTGCACAGGATATAGTTCAAATGACATTAAGGCAAATGACATTAGGACAAATGACATGGGACATTGGATATAGAGCATAGGAAAGCTTCGAGTCAAAATAAAATACTCAAGGTCGCCAACTGCCGTTAGCTTAAATGCTAGAGTCTCGAGAAGCTAGAGCATCCAAGTCAATTAAGATGCTCAAGGTACTCAAGGTACTCAAGATCCCAAGGCCATCAAGGTGCTCAAGGTGCTCGTTCTTTACTCGATGCTATAATTACCAGGTTCTCGAGGTAAGTTGAGACCCTTTTCTATTCCTTTCTTGCTCATTGAGGTAGATGTTGCCAAGTTCCAAGCAAGAATCAATGGTAACAGTGAGACCTGAAAATGTGACTTAATCTTTGACCTTTCTTCCCTGTCTGGCCAAGATACGAACATTGTGGTCTTGGAGCATAAGGCCATAATGCATCTTCGGTAATATTTTACCACAGACCCAACGGTAACGCATAAAATGTGAGACAAGGCTTCATTTGAAGCATGGGACCCAGTTTAGGCAAGTACATGAAGAGCGACCTTCAGCTGGACGACAACATCTGTCTGTGGGTTGGTGCCGTTCCGCATAAATTGGCAGCAGGATACTCAGCTTCCATTGCGTCGCTATAAAACACCAAATTGATAACACAAAAAGAAAAACGAAGTATAATATATTCCTTCTTCAAACATGGAAATATCGAGAATTTTTATTTTTCCTTCATAAACACCCTTCGTCTCCCCTGGGAAAGGATGGATGATGAGTGATTTTCGAAATCGCTCAGGGAAGAGAGTAAGTGAAACCAATTTATGATTTCAAAGTATTGACTGAATAACGAACATATATTCAGCATTTGCTTTTTTGCACATTCTAGAGAGTAATGATGAACAATAATAATGGGAGAGATAAAATCTAACGTATATATCTTCCGAACATAAAACCAAACCCAGCATAGCCATGTTATTGATAAAATTCAATATTTTATTATGCCGTAATAGCATGTGTCCCCAATATAATTATGTGTTTCATAGTGTAGGGTTAAACGGGCTTCCATCGGTTTATAGATCGTATGCGCAACAACTTCAATGGCTGGGAACGCGCTTCATCAATCTAATATTCAAAGACAAAAGACATTAAACGACGCGTTTAGAACCTATATTACCCATATGCTATCTATCTTCAACTCCTCAATATAGTATTCGTATCATGCAGAGAGTTCCGAATAAAAAAATGGATTCACCGAATGCTTATATGCTTGGATGGTAATGGTTTCCAGCTTAAACCTTTACGTGTTTTTACATGGGCTCAGTATCTGGAATAACTGAACAAATCGTTCTACAAATCTTTCAGTCTAAAGGATGCACATCAAAAGGTTTCTCATCTAACCATGTGAGTCGGTATCGATTCAAAGTTTCTGCAATCATGATTTGGTACAGGCCGTCGCCGTGGATCAACTCCGGGAGTAGTGCTAGATTATATTATAAAAACGCTGATAGTTAATACTGAGCGTTGTGAGTAGGAACTAATACTTGAGCAAATACGAAAAACGAAAGCAAAAACCAGGATATAAATAAATAATAATAATAAAAAGCATTAGCTATCAAACTATCACTGAGGCAGCAGTAAAATACACGCGCTACCAAAGCAAGGAAATGGCCTAATGTGGAGTAAAGTATAGTATGATAAAATCAGCCTGTGGATCTTGCACCACCGCACAGAAAATTTTCAGCCCCGGTAGTTTCTGTATGATGTGACAAGGACAAACACTAGGGTACCCTTTTATTAGGGCGCGGGTAAATAATGGCTTTAACAAGGGTGATGGACTGGGAGCTCAGCGCATGGGGGTTTCTAGCGGCGCATTCCTCATTTGGGATGAAAAGAGAAAAAAAAAGAAGTTCTTAATAACTCTGGCCATGGTCACATCTACGAAACCGCGCGTTAGCCCTGTATGATTATTAAGTACTGATTAGGCGCGGAGCTCTCACCTGTCGATAGATAAGGAGGTGACCTTCGCAGGAAGCTTCTGTCTACTTCCTTATGTTCCAAACCTCAGTCGGAACCATTTCGCGACAAAGACATTGAGGAAGTCAAATCCGTTACCATGTGTAGCTTCAGAGGCAAGGCATTTCTCAAGCATGCCTTACCCCTCAAGTCGCTCCAGTTTGGGCGGCTTGAATATTTGGGTGACGGCATGCCGGACCTGTCCGCAGCCATGCACTTGAGGCAGAACTTGAATGGAACAGGATGGAACATGCAATCCTTATCCAATGCTTCAAACAGCTTCTTCGGACAGGTGGTCTATGCGCTTGGGCTTTGCAAGTGTGTATGGTCTGGCATTGATGCATTGATGACATTGAACAACATAGAATATTTGAAACACCTGGGATTTACCAATGTATTGGTAAGAATGGTGGTTGTCGATTTCAATTTTGAAATAGAGGGATGCAACACACTGTCCTTGGAGTCGATGATACCTTTAATATTAACATGTATGTAGTCATTAAACCAAAGTCATCAACAGAAAAAAAGCACAGCATTGGTCCTTTTTTTTGAGTTTACACACCGCTTTGCTGTCACTGTCTCAAACAAATAAGCTCCATTAGGTAAAAATAATAAAAAGGCATTTCAGTATAACTGTATAGGCTCATTTTCATTCTTGTCTCTATTATTTCAAATCCTCATATTATGGTAAAGGATTAGGAAAGAAAGTGACTGTGCCCCGGAAATGTAAAAGGGATCTCTCTTTCCCTCCTTCTTGAGAAGTTCCATTAGGTCTGGTTCACTAGCGGTGCACAGCCAGAAGTCGTTGACTAATATATTTCAAAATTTTAAATTGGATAGAATACCCTCATTTCAGACAATCAGCCACCAAATTAAAAAGCGATTCAAAGAAAAAAATTTGTTAGCCGTGAGGTTCTTTCATGTCACAGGGTCTTCTGGACTGCTTCAGGGTTTGAAGTCAAGTCAGAAATAACTAGACTACTTCCACGTGGAGCACCCTCGCCCTGGGATTTAAGATACAATTACGTCTAGAAGGTTCTTGAATCGTGCTTACTACAAATCTGCTTCCCCCGTCACACACGCCACTAGAAATTGAAAAAAAAAATGCTTGACGAATCGATCAAAGCGGGCAGAGGTTGATCTGTTAGGCTCTTCTTCATCTCTAATTTCACTTTAAAGACGATCAACCATGAGCGAGCAGAACGACAACACCGCTCCCCCTACCACAACGCTTTCAGGATTGTCTCTCAATCCTAATGCTGGCACATTTATTCCCCGTGCTGCCGCAAAGCCTTTTGTGCCTTCATGGATGCCTCAACCTGCTGCTGAGGCTCCACCTGCACCTCCAACCTCTTCAGGCATTGACTTCAACCGTCCTCCTCCTGCTGCTGTACTTAACAAAACTGTCGAAACATCCTCCTCTGACTCCGCCCCTGCTCCCACAGCAGCTACCCTCGACTTCAACCGCCCTCCTCCAGCTGCTGTTTTGAACAAGACTGTTGACACCACACCTGCTGCTCCTAAGCCTGTTCCTGCCGCAGCAGCAGCCGCAGCCGCAGCACCAGTAGCAAAGCCTGCTTCCCCTGCACCCAAGGCCCCCACAGCTGAGGCCCCCAAGAAGAAAGTCGAGGCTGCCCCTAAGGCTCCTGCTGCAGCCCCTCCTGCTCCTGTTGAGGAGGAAGAAGATGCTGTTGATCAAGAAACCTTGACTGAGTTTTTTGGAAAAGAGCACGTTAACGTCATCTTTATCGGCCACGTTGATGCTGGAAAGTCTACCATGGGGGGTCGTATCTTGTAAGGACAAGATTTTAAGAAAAAAAAAACGAATTCTTCTGTTTCCTGATAAGCTTATAGTAGAGCTTGTGATTAATAATCTTTTTTTTTTTTTTTTTTTTTTTTTCCCTTATTTTTTAGGGAGGCAACTGGAATGATTGATAAGAGGACCTTAGAAAAGTATGAGAAAGATGCCAAGGAGGCTGGGCGTGATTCTTGGTACTTGTCCTGGGCTTTGGATACTAACGCTGAAGAGCGTGCTAAGGTATGATGGGATCCATTATTCGTCATATAATATTGTAAACGCTACTTAGGATTTCATGGAAGGCTGTTTTTTATGTGGGCAGTTTCTTATTTAATTTTTTTTTTTTTTTTTTATTACTGTTATGAAAAAACAGGGCAAGACCGTCGAGTGTGGACGTGCATACTTCGAGACCGATACCCGCCGCTATACCATTTTGGACGCTCCTGGACATAAAACTTATGTGCCTAGCATGATCGGAGGTGCTGCACAGGCTGATTGCGCCGTATTGGTCATTTCAGCCCGTAAAGGAGAGTTTGAGACTGGTTTCGAAAACGGTGGGCAGACTCGTGAACATGCTCAATTGGCCAAGAGCGGTGGTGTCAACAAACTGGTAGTGGTTATCAACAAGATGGATGACCCTACCGTTTCCTGGTCAAAGGAAAGATATGATGAATGTGTTAGCAAATTGACACCCTTCTTGAAGGGTAGCGGCTTCAACATGAAAACAGATGTTATGTTCATGCCTGTCTCTGGATTCACAGGAGCCAACATTAAGGCGGATTTGGACGCTTCCATCTGTGATTGGTACAAAGGACCCTCTCTTTTGGGCTATTTGGATTCACTCAAACTTGCAGATCGCAATTTTAGTGCACCTCTTCGCATGCCTATCAGTGAAAAGTACAAGGATATGGGAACAGTCGTTGTTGGAAAGATCGAGTCTGGTTCTCTCAAGAAGGGTGCCAATCTTTTGATGATGCCCAATGGTTCCAAAGTTGAAGTCCAAGCTATATTCAACGAACTTGAGGAGGAGATTCCAGCAGCAGCCGTTGGTGACAACATTCGCCTCCGTCTCCGTAATATTGAAGAGGAGGTAAGCTGTTTAGGCATAGACAATGATGGTTTCGACTTTTTTTTTTTTTTTTTACTACACCAAGCTAATTCAAATTATGGGACTTTTTTTTTTTTTTTTTTTTTTTTTATTGTCTAGGATATTATGATTGGTTTCGTGCTGTGCAGTCCCAAGAACCCAGTCCATGCTGTTTCTAAGTTCGAGGCGCAATTAGGAATCTTGGATCACAAGAACATTATTTGTGCTGGTTACACCGCAGTGTTACACATCCATAATGCCATTGAGGAGATCACACTGTCGGCCATGATGCACTTGATTGATAAGAAGACTGGTCGCAAATCCAAGAAGCCTCCACAGTTTTTGAAGAAAGGTCAACAGGGTATTGTCATGATTGAGACCACAGGACCGCTCTGCATGGAGACTTTTACAGATTCACCCCGTATGGGTCGCTTCACTCTCCGTGATGAGGGCAAGACTATTGCTATTGGAAAGGTCACTAAGCTTATCACTGACGATTCTGCTTAAAAGTTTTTTTTTTTTTTTTTTTTTTTTTTTTTTAAAAAAAAAAAGGATACTTTTTCATTTTTATTATTATCTTTTTTTTTTTGTCTTCCCACTCACTACACTATCATTCTTTTATTTTTCTATTTTTTTTTTATTTTTTTTTTTACGAGTCGCACATTGCAGCAATTTCTGCTTCCGCGGAAATGTGAATAAAATTATATATTAGATGTTGACTTAAAAGTTTAAGCTGGCTGTGCTCATATATAAAAAAACCTTTTTTTTTCGATCGCACAAAAGCCCAATTTTTTTTTTTTTACTGCGCCTGTTTCGTTAATAGCAAATAAGCAACGCCGCAATACAACGCAACGGCAGAAACAAACTGTAAAATCGAAAAAAGAAATATAAAGGAGCTAATACGCCAACTATCTAGAGTTTATTCATGCACTAGCTTTTTTTCTTTCCCAGTCAAAGAATCAAAGAACCTCCTTCCCCTACTTGTTCATCATTTTTCTTCCACTTGAGTACATTTATAACATTGTTGGGAAATTAGCATCAGCCTTATAAACAGCAATTACAAACTAATCGACAAACAGCATTACAGTTAGCCAATGTGTGCATGTGTCACTTTCGATTTCGGAAGATTTAACGCCTTTCCTTAAAATACGATCAGCTGGAATAATTTTACACGACCAAAGCAAAAAAAAAAAAAAAAAAAGCAAAGCAAAGCAAAGCAAAGCAAAGCAAAGCAAAAAAAGGAATCACTTTTATATTTTGCAGAGATGTCAAGCGCTGGAACGATAGTTGGGATCGTCTTTGGTTCGCTGGCTGGGGTCGGATTATTGATCTACTTTCTCTTTTTCCACAAAAAGGTTACAAATCGACAGACCCAGAAACTGATGGATGCTACTAATCTGATCCATGCTCAAGAGCCACAGGGAACGTTTTCATCGGAAAGACGGCCAGATGGGACAGTGGCACTCTCAGTTCGTCCGTTACCACCCACTCACAGCACCCATACACTTGAGCCATCACCCTCACCACCCCAGCAACATCTCAATCACTATCCATTACAACCAGTCCGGTCTCTTCAACCTCCGATTCCAGACCCTGTTTCCTTACCATATAACCCAGCATATAACCCAGCATATAACCCAACATCTCCATCATCCTCTTCTACATCACCCATTATCCCTCCTATTCCAAGTCCCCATTCTACAGCAACAATGGTAGTACCATCAGCTCCTCCGCCTCCTCTGTTGGCCACTACGAACGTAACGCCTTCAAGTACAAGTGTGCCATCATTTCAGTCGGATCTACAGAAACTTCAATTTTCAAGCCATCCTTGCCCAGGTTATGTCACAACATTGAGAGATGAGGTCGAAGAGGTCAAGGGCAATCTGGATAATGATGACGATGGTGATGATGATGCTAAACGTTTAGCAAATGAAGCAAAAGGAGATTGCATGATTGAAATTGTTCCCGAATCCGGATCTGCGCCCGAAGCTGAATTAAGGTTCAACCATCAACATCAATATCAACATCAGTATCCACAGGATGATGACAATACGAGTAAGGGTGTCTTATCACTACCGGAACCACGGTTCGGAAATGGGTCGACAATGATATCAGCAGGGATGTATAGGCCTTACTCCAACCCAAACTTCAACTCCAGCTCCTACAATAGCTCTGTCTCGCCAACAACAGCAATAGAAACAGCGACATCGATTTCTACAAGTGTAGGCACGTTAGAAGGGAACGTATTAAAATCTCAGGAGCGTAGTCCACATGAGATTGCTATTCCTATCAACCACGTACCTGAGACATCATTGCATTCCTCGTCTTCTCCGACTAAAGATTCTCCCCCAAGAAAGTCAAGTCAATACCCAGAGATGAATCCTAATTTAATGCCTCCAAGGATTCAACATAATCCACATGAACCGATAATAATGTCTTCATCTACTTCGTCTATATAAGGGAAAAAAAAAAATAGTTTTTTTTATTGTATTGATTCACATGATGGACCGAAAAGAAAAAAGGAAGCAAGTAACGGGATTAATTTAATTTAATTCGACCTGAATGTATAGATGTCTAATAAAGGTGAATCCCTCTAACTTAACACTCACCCATTCACTCATTCTATAACTCCCTCTTTCTCTATCTCTCTCTCCCTCTCTCTCTCTGTCTGTTTATTGTTCTCTTTTTTGCTTACTTTTCAAGACTGTTAAGCTTTTTTTTTTTTTTTTTTTTTATATTTTTTTATAGCACAAATGACGTGAGGGTCATGCTTTGTCTGTGCGCCTGCTTGAGAGTTTTCCAATGCATTCACGCAAAATAAATCTTATTTGATCCTTTGAAAAGTATAAAAGTCGATTAGATAATTTTGATGTCATTGACCTTTTAAAAAAAAAAAAATGTATAAAAAGAAAGGAACACACACACACCTTAAAAAAGAAAACCCTTTAAACTTCATCTTCAACAACAGCAACAAGAACAACATTAAAAAAAACCATGACAGAACGTATTAGCAACACCGTTAATGCCACCCTCGGTGGTTGGAAACAAAAGATTGGTGAGAACCTTGGACAACCAGAGTTGGCCGCCAGTGGAGCTGCTCAAAAGACTCAAGCCGAGAATGCTCAACGTCAAGCGGATGAGAAGAAATATGTCGATGGAATCGGTCATACAGTCGAAGGTCAAGCTCAACAGAAGATCGGCTCCCTCACCGGTGATAAGACCATGCAGGCTGAAGGCATTGCGAACGAAGCCCTCGGTGCCGCAGAAAAACAGAACCTTGAACGCCGTTACCAACATCATTAATCATAACAACAGCCGAGAAACCGACTCAATAAATAAATGACAAAATAAAAACAATCAAAAGTATATATTGGGCCTATTTTTGTTGGTATGATATGCGCAGTTTATTTCTTTAATGGACATCTTTCATTAAGAGGAAGAAAGAAAGTGAGAGTGGAGTAGGGAAAAAAAATTAAGTGATATTAAAAAAAAATCGTGCCGAGGAAAAGAGTGTACAAAAAGTGTAAAAAAAAAAAAAAAAAAAAATGCAGTTTGATATAAAATGAGAATGTTGATGGTCATTGAGCTTGATGTATTCTTTTGTCTAATGTTTCGTTTTTTTCTTTCCTCATTCGACTCCTAAATGAACGCTGACAAACTCGGTGATAGATGGAAGCAATCTCTCTGCTGTACCAAGAACAATACTTAGATCACTTGACTCCATACCCATCTGCTGAAAAATAGCTTGCAGTGATAATCGTGCAGTCGTTTCATCCGCATTGGCTGAATCATGATCTGTTGGTAATACTCGGCTTTTCTGACGCTTTTGCTGCTCCAATTGCTCGGCAAGCTCAAGACTAGTGTGAATAATGTATAAATATAAAAAGAGGTCAGCCTCTGGAAAAGGGAGCAAATAATGTATACAGCAGAGTAGTAATGGTGAAAACACCAAGTTTGAAAACCAACCCTTCTTTCTTGACAAATTTAACAAGAGCTGAAGCTTTCTTCACTAATCCCCTCCTCCACTGCCTAACAAAGCCCTCGCGCATCTCAATCGGTAGGCCTACAACACAACGGACCAAATTCTCCACCATGGGTGCAGAGGTTTGGACAGGCTTAACGACTTTCTGTCCTCTCCATTCTATACTAGTCCAATTGTTTTCTCGTCTCGATCCACCTCCACCCCAGAATCCTCCTGAATCAGATCCGCCCCCACCATTGCCACCACCCCCGCCACCACTGCCACCACCAGAAGTATTGCTGTTCCGTTGAAAGTTTTGGGGGGGGATCATGGATCCCTGATATAGGTATCCAGCTTGATTAGACGCAGATGCTGCATTCCAGGCATTCACCCGACTGATCGTTCGATCCACTATAGTCTTCACTTGATCTTTGCGATAATCGGACCGTAGACGTGCATAATTAGGGAATCGCTCTGTTTGCTCTACTTTGAAACGTACAGTATCAACAATAGTGGTTGGAAAGGGTGAAGAAAGAATATGATAGAGCCGTCCTGTCCGGTCAGATCTTCGAGTTGATGAATAAGGGTTAGGTAATCCTGTTTCATGGTCAACGCCCGCTCCAGAATGCGATTGAGTGGGTTTCCCAATGCTAGGCGTGTAAATCCCCTGCAAGAAAAGGTCCGGTATGTAGCGATGTTGTTTCCGTGCATGACAGGATTTAGCTCTATCTTCTGGTGAAAGGAAAAGTGCTAAGGTATTGATCATCTATAATATAAACCAAGAAATAAAAGAACAAACCTCAGTTTAGTTATTATGAGCTTGGACGAGGGAAAAGGGGGAAAAAAAAAAAAAAATCTACTCACGATCCTAACATACCATATTCATGATTGTAATATTATTCCCTACAACAACCGTGGAGGAGTTTGTCTGCAGATGTGATGTGATGGCCCGATTAATAAATTCACGTCCAAACACCTGATCGCCTTCTTTTCCTAATGCAATATGACTCGCCTGGTATCATTAAAAAAAAAAAAAGAAGTCCAGAATGAATATGCTGATTATGTGCTGAAATGAGGTAGAGAAGAGCTCAAAAATATATATAAAGAGAGTAAGTTACCTTGGCTCCTTCGATTGCCATTGCAGCAGCCTCCATCGTCATAATATCCTCCACAAATGGTACTAAATGATCTTCTGCAAACATTTCCAGTGCTACATTTAATCGCTATATTGATGAAAATAATGAGAAAAGAGAATGCATCAACATGAGTTATTCTACTCAATGATTCTTTGCCAGCTCAAGCTCTCTATTTCTCTCATACAAATAACATAAAATGAAAGAAAGATGGCTTACAAGCCCTGATCGAAAGCCACGAAGGATTTCAATGAGCATTGGAGCATGGTCGGTCATAATGTCGAAGAAACTAGAAAAACTTTGCAGATACACAAGCGGCACTACAAAACTGAGGACGAATTTGGTGGACATTGCGAGTGTTCCTGTAGTTGATCCCAAAGTGCAGCTATATGAAGTATTGTCAGCCATTGATGGGTGGGCAGTGTAAAGATACGACATGGCGATCAAACCTAATATATATATGTATAAAAATAAATAAATAAATTTGAACTTTTAACTTTTTTTTGGACAGCGGACAAGTTGGGCTCCCTCACTATTAGCAGTACATATTTAGGAATACATATACATACCTTCTTCCTGTAGGACAACCATCTTTGGTTCAATGGTATCCGTGGTGCGCATTACTTCACCATTCAATACTTGCTTAGCCAACAGGTTCAATGTTGATTCGTCAGGACAACCCACCCGCGAGGTCCATATCTTTTTTATGTTGTTGTTTGTACGACAGTTATCGTTCATATAAACACAAACACATTTAGGATAAAGTTGGATGGAAGAATAAGAGTCGGGAGAAAAATGAGAAAAAAAAAAAAAAAAAAAAAAAAAGTCAGATGTTAAAGCATAAAGTACAAAGGAATACCCGTTGAGTTGTTTTAGTCGCTTGCTCATTTGCTTGTAGTTCTGTTTGCGGGCGATGTTTGATAAGAATGGCTCATGATGTACTTGAATTATTGAAGACTTCAATCGATAATTAAGGCTTTATTTACCTGCTCTATCCTGGGTCCAACGAGATTTGACCAATACATAGACAAAACTGCAAGGAAAAAACCGTTCTCAGGCAAACAATAGGAACGACTTTCAGTGGCAGTAGGTGTTGCTGGCAAAGATATGGACTCAAATTGCGTATTTTGCGACATTCCAGTCTCCTTTGAATCTCCATCACGATCTCTGTTTAAAGAGACTGGTGCTGATGCGACTGATAGTGCTGATGATAATGGTGGTGGAAGGATCGTAAATTTAGATGTCAGCTGTTGAGCAGATGCCTTTTTTCTAGGCCCTATCGAGAGAGAGAAAAAAAATAAAATGTCGGTCAGGAATATCGCGTGTGAAGGAAGAGAAGGTTCGCCAATAATAACACATGATAGTCCTACTCTCTTTTTCACCTTATGGCCCCTCATCTTACCTCCGCTTGAGATGTATTCACCCCCTTCGGCTGCTACACTTTGTAGCGCTAGTAGAGCCTTTCGACCGCCTTCAGCACCCATTGACGTAACGACTCTGGAAGAGTCAAAAGCTTCAGAAGTACTGGGCGGGCCTTTATTAGATTTTGTGACCTTGCTTGTAGGTTTACTAGATTGATGACTTTCATCAAAATCCCACAATCCCAAGATGGCCGCATGACTCTTTTCTTCCTTGGGCGTGACAAGATAAGGAAGAACAGGTAGACCTTTATGTTTGGAAAGCGTGGAGGGATTGGAAGTAGGCAGATCTGTACCGGTTTTGGGATTGTTACTGTTGGAGGAGGTGCTAGGGCCCGGTGTCGCAGGAACGAGGTTGAGAGTTGGAGGTGACGATGTAGGGGGAGCCTTTGTATTCACTTGCAGCTGTAATTGGGTTGTTAACATTGTCGGGAACTGGGCCTGGGCCTGAGCTATAGCCCCAGGAGGGAGGCTCATTGGTGGACCACGAGTCCTACCTGTACTAGTTGGTGTAGTCCCAGTGTTACCAGGTTTACTATTGCTGTTGCTGTTGCTGTTGTTGACATTGCCACTATTGGAGACTGGAGGAGTGGATGAGGCAATGTGACGGGAAGAGTGATTGTCCATGGGAGGTACTGTCGATGCTGTAGTCGTCGTTGCTGCTCGATTAGTATCGTGAGGTTTTACTCGTGCCTGTGCCTGAGCCTGCGCCTGAGAAGCCTGAGTCAGAGTTTGAGTCTGTGCAGTATCCTGTTCAATAGTCCCCGTCCTTCGATTGCCATGAGCGGCTATAGTATCATGATTTTGATTTTGAACAATAGTGTTGACATTGGCATGCGATGTGAGATCGGTATTGGCTGGGAGAGATGCATTGGTGCTGGTTAGAAGGGTTGAAGCAGAGCTGGGTGGTGGCCCTGGGGCGTCTTCTCCCTGACCAGACATGCATGTGAATCCGCCGAGCCTGTGTGCTGTGTGGGTGTGTCGACCTACGTTGAGGGTGAATAAGAAGGATCAGGAGAATCAAAGAGAAAAAAAAAAGCCAAGGGACAGATGAAATGAGGAAGAAAGATGGTGAAAAAAGAAAGAAGATATTTCTAAAAGGTTTATTATTGTTATTATTCAATGCAAATAAATGACTGGTTTAAGAGGATTGCACGCATATTTTGCACGAATGGAGTAGTAAAAAAAAAAAAAAGACGCGGTCGTGTCACTTGGCACACGCGTGTGAGGAAACAAAAGTAGTGCTTCATCTTTCCAGATGCATGCATGCATGCATTTTCGTCTCTTTTACATGCTGACAGTCAGTCAGTTATTCATTTCTACAAGGCTATTATACTTTTAAATCGCTTCTTATTTGTCAAACTCCTTCTTTTCTTTGATATTTCAATATTGCCATCTATACTTCGGTTTACTGAATCCTAGAGAGTAAGCTGCCTTATATTTATCCCCTTCGAATCCAATTTCATTGTTTACCTTCACTCTGTGCATTTCACATTTATGATATCATCGTAAAATAGAGTGAAGCATTATTGTTGTTAAGGAGCTGCAGCAACCATTAGAAAGAATCATACCCGTCTTGATCGTCTTGAAAAAAAAAAAAAAATAAATAAAAATAAAAAATATGGCACCCTACAAAAGGATTTATTTCATCCATGGGTGTTTGGAACCCAGAAAGATAATTGGTCAAAGACCAGTGATCCTGAACTAGGAGTGCCAATATCCGATTTGTAAATCATGAGCAGTCACACAGGCAAGCATCGTCCGTCGTTCTCACGTTCTCAAAGATTCCCTCGCGTTCCAGCACATTCGCCCAATAATTTTGCTTCTATAAATTGAGAAGGATTCAGAACACCAACGGAAAAAATTTCTCTTTCCTCATTCACCTCATTTCTTTAACTAACAATCCCACTTGAATAGACCGACCATCTTTTGCTTCGGTCTACTATACTTACAACAACGCCAGTTCATAACTTTTTCCACTCTTCTAACGCCTTCACTTCCTTCTCCGACCCGTCGCTGGTGACACTGCTCGGTCTCTTTGCTTTGCCAGCCTACGCTACCATGTTTGCACAAAGACCTATCCAAGACCCCTTTCAATCACACAAGTATAGCCCCTTCAATAACCACATGATTACACAAAAAGACTTGCTTCAAAGAGAAAAGCAGTCAGTTTATCCTCAGTCTTTTCACCAGCCATATGAGCAGGAACCAGGCCAACAATCACCACCACACATTGAGCACAACAACATGGATACCGGACGAAGAAAACGATCTTTCCATTTTGAGCCAGAGTTTTATGCCGCTCTCGATGCTTCATTGAATGAGCCGTCTTCCACCTTACCGAGGCCTCATCCTATCAAGAAACTTCGCCGTTCTGCTACTGCTACAGATCCCACTATCCTTACTAATAACAATATCCCAAACAATATCACAACAAGCTCTGACCGGTTGTCCTCGACCCCAACTACATTAAAAGAGTCAAACCCTTTGTCCTCTACTCCTCGTAGGCCCCCACTTTTGCCAAAATATACCAGAAGATCTCAAGGTAACGATGTGCGTATCGTTGACCTTTCTTCAGGAGAAGAGTTGTCATCATCTCATTTGGGCGAAAAAGAACACAAACGTCGCCGCGAGAGTACTGCAGACTCTCTTTCGTCCGCAGATTCACTACGCGAAATCTTTGATGTTTTAGAAGATGGGACGCTAAAACCAGTAATGGATCATGCACCTTCATTACCTTCGCCATATAAACGAAGCCGGATCCATCGATCCATGGATAATAGCAGCAGCAGAGACAGTGGGGATGGTGATGACAGCCCACTTGAGATCATCTCAGAACCTCGGAATGAACTCCAGTCCAACACCACCAAGAAAGATCGTACGAGTGATGATGATAACCATGGACAGTTTTCTCAGTATTCTAATTCAAACACCTATCGGGATGACCAATCGGAATCATCCATGATGATGGACCAAGATAACTGGGACAATGCAACACCTCAAACACCCAAACCCTCTCAAGCTGACCTTGGCGCTTTGATTAGATACGAGGGCCCCAAAACCGTGACACTTGCTGATGGGGTTGATGCACTGATTCGTAAGCAATGGTTGAATCGATATAATACTACTCCTGAACTGAGTGATGTTCAAGGTAACGAGCTGGTCTTGTACCGTCGACCTCCACCAACATTCTTGAGCTCATCTTTTGATTATGAGGATGATGATACGCCAGAGTTCACGGCACGCATTACAGAGATTGATGACGATAAGGAAGACGATGGCTATGCCTCCCATGATTCTGCAAACGACGATTCCCATGTCCAAGAACTGGAGGATAAAATCATGGGTATGGATTTGGATTAGAGGAAAACCCTCTCACTGCCTACCACCATTTTTTCTTTTATTGCTGTAGCTTTTTAAAAGCATTTGTACATAGTGTCTTTCCAACTATAACTCTTTAACAAAATTTGCGCTTGTATCTGAACCATAATCATTTCTTTTGTAAATCTCCCAAATGTAATGGCAAAATAAAAAGAACTGATGGGTGTTATATTTGTACAAATGTGATACCAAGAGAACTCATACCCTCAGATCTAATCTATCTGAAGTTGATAATGGTGGGTTGATGTTGTCCTAGCAGTATTGTCTCTGCTGTTTGATAAGGTGCTTCCTGTTGTAAATTGAATTATGGATGCGGAGGGAAAATAAAAATAAAAAAATAAAAACACGACGCGCTGATTCTTGACAGTTTCTGATTTCCGGTTATCCATAAAAAAGAGTATATTCGATACATTTGAATAGCTTCTCCTCCTTGTTCTTACTCCGTATACTTCCAACATGGTTTCCCTTCTCTCTTTCCTTGTCCATCAAAAAAGTCGATTGATATCTTTCCTGCGTCCTTTTCCCTTTTTTTTTTTTTTTTTTTTTTTTTTTACCAAGTCGACTTTTTCACACCAGGAAGTTCACCCTCCAAAGCCTTGAGACGAAATTGGAATCTGCATAGACGGAAAGCACGGAGGACACCACGACCACGTCCAGTTTCGAGACAACGGTTATGAATAGCAGTAGGACGAGCATCACGAGGGAAGGCGTTGAGTTGCAGCTGTGCTTGTGCGCGGACCTTGGCAGGGAGAGTGGTGTTGCGGGTCAGGTAACGAAGAGCTTGACGAACGACCTCTGTTGAAGCCACAGTGGCTCTAGCTTTCATATCACGGATAATGCGAGCGCGAGGCATGATGGATATATATATATTTAAACGTTTATTTGTTCAAAGGTGTTGATTTGGTTGCCTCTAATGTCCTTAATATTTTGAAGAGAAAGAGAAAGAAGGAGAATGAATGCACTAATCAAACTAATCGGAATGTTTGAGAGAGGAGTGTTGGAGGAGAGGCGGGGGTTTTTTTTGTTTACTATATATCACGTGCAATAATAGCAGTCTTCCGACCTTATAAGCAACCAGAGGAAGAGTCTCCCACAAGGACAAGGGCACAACAACAACAAAAAAAAGATCAGTTTTTTCGGACATTCACCACGTTCCTTTTGGTGACAATAAACGAACGACCGTAGACCCTTTTTCTGTCTCTCTCTCTTTTTTTTTTTTTTTTTTTTTTTTGTTTGCTCAAAAACTTTATCATCAACAGACGAGTCCAATAATGTCGAGCATGATCCCAAGACGACTGGGTCAGAGCCTCATTACAACGACAACAACTGCAAATGGTCTGATCCGCCGTTCGTTCTCGACTTCACCTGCAATTCTCTCTCATATTGGCAAACAGGTTTTACCTTTTGGCACGGATGTGGTCTTGACTCATGACCCTACTCCGATTCTCAACCCTCGTGTTCCTGCAGATCTTCATTCGACCACACTTCATATCAAGGGACCATTGGGAGAACATGTCCTACCCATTAAACCCTATGTAAACTTGAAGTTTGAACAGGAACAAGGAGATTCCCTATTGAGTATCACTGTACAGGATCCGGAAATCAAAGAACAAAGGGCCATGTGGGGGACGACACGAGCATTGATTGCGAACGCTATCACAGGAGTTTCAGAAGGTTATACAGTCCCGATTCGTTTGGTAGGCGTTGGTTATCGTGCAACAGTGGAAGACAATAAAGAAGCAGCCGGAGGAAGCAAGGAAAAGTTATCCATGAAGTTGGGATACTCGCATTCTGTGGAGGTGGATATCCCAGAGGGGATTCAATGTTCGACTCCTTTACCGAACAAGATTGTGTTGCAAGGAAATGATATTCAAAAAGTCAAGGAGTTTGCATTCAAAATCAGGAAATGGAGACCACCAGAGCCCTATAACCAAAAGGGTATCTTTGTAGGCGACGAGACTATTGCAAAGAAGACGTCCAAGAAGAAGTAGAAAAAAAAAAAAAAAAAAAAAAAAAGAAAAGAAAAAGAGAAAAGCAGAGAAATGCAAACGTACAAATGTCTTTATTTTATTTTCTTCCATACCTAGTCTTCATTGTAGTATCTACTATATCATCTGCCTTCATAGAGTTGTGTTTGTTCATTTGCTTCACATTTTGATTTAATGTACATTCTTTAAAAAAAAAAAAAAAAAAAAAAAAAAAGCCCAATTTGCTTAATCACGTTTGTCTGTTCTTGTTAATAGTCCTTTCTAGACGTATTGTCTTTATAAGATGATAGACATGATTCAAGAGAGAATGTGTGATAATCAGATGAAGAAGAGCGACTGATCTTCTTGCACTCGTCCACTCCTTCCTCTGCTGACTATTTTATCAGGATCAAGTAAAGAAGGTCGGTCATAGTCAAAAAACGTGATGATGGCACATGGACAGGGACACTACATGACCACAGCTATTGTTGGCGTTAGGGTCAAGATTGAACGTCAGAAAGAAAATGATTTTTACTTAAGCATAAAGGTGACCTGACCAATTTTTTTCTTAAAAAAAAAAAAAAAGAGCATGAGGGAGTTGAAAAGGTAGGAAAGATTAAAGAAAGAAGTATAAAAATATTTTTAATCAACGTAAACATCGGCAAAAAAAGGAGGCAGGGGGAAAAACCCTAGTTAGTGTACTTTATATACTTTTATATTGAGCATCGCATCTTTTTTGCAATTGATTGATTGATTGATTGATTGCTCTGAAATAAAAATGCAGAAAAGGCAGTTGTCCAATCTCCTTCGTTGGTCAGATGCCCAGTCTTGCATTTGTGCACTGTTGTACATGTACATGCATAGTCCTAACCCCATTCTACGTGTTATACATGTTTTATATTCATATATTCATCATGAACAAACATAAACTCTTCGTCTGCAGCACATGTTCAGCCTTTTTAGGCTCCTTTTTTTGAAAGGGGTAAGTGAAGAAGACAGAGGGTATTTTATCCCCTTAGTCTCTTTTTTTTCTTCTCTTTCTTTCTTTCTCTCTCATTCTTCAACTCCATCATCTCTTTTGCTCATTCACAACTCTACAGACAACATCAACTAGACCATGGGTATGTGCAACATCCAAACAGAAATAATTTTGTGCAGAAATCCAAAGTCACTTTACTAACTTTGCGAAACCTTTTTCTTCTTGATTCGCTGTACTGCTCGACATATCCAACTGTCCTCTTGTCCATTTTACTCTTCTTCGTTGAATCTCATTGTTGACTCGTATTCGGGAAACTATCTCATTGCCGATCCCTATTTCTCTTTCTCTTTCTCTCGCTCTCTCGCTCTTTTCTTTCGGGATGCCTTCAATCTGTACGTGATTTTTGTTGTTACATTTGTTCTTTTTTTTTTTTTTTTTTTTTTTTTTTTTCTACCCTGAACCTTTGCAAACGCGATATATGCAATTAGACTCATATTCCTCTCTCTTTTTGTTTTATATTACGCGTCATTTATAGACTACTTCACATTGGATGGGATTGAAAAAAACAACCTGTCTTTTTTGGATAATATTTTTATGTCCTTGAAACAGCCGATAACACTGACAAGACACGCGCTTCCGAGGAGCTCGAGACCTTTTTGAAGCATCGTCCTGACCGGGAGGAGCTCGTTGAAAAGAACATCCTCAAAGGTAAAGATATTTATTATCTTTTCTCCAATCCAAGCGTGAAACTATTTTTATTTTTTTCTTTATTATTTAACTTTATCTTTAAAGGAAAGAAGGAGCTGTAGAGGAAGACATCTATAAAATGCTTTGTCAATTCATTGAAAGTAACATTATCAACTGGAATGAGCGATGAACTAGACCACAACTACAAGAAGAGTGTGCGTGTGAAAAAAAAAAAAAAAAAAAAAAAAAAAGACACTTTTTAGAAAGGACAGAGCTTTTTCTTTTCTTTTCTTTTTTTTTTTTTTTTTTTTTTATTTTTTTTTTTTTTTTTTTAGTTTTTTTTGTTGTCTGTGCTCCTCCATCACAAGTCGCGTAATAACATTTATTTTTTATTTTGAAAAAACCGGATAGATTCTCATGTGGCCCCCGCATTGCAGAGGAAAGAGGAGGAGCTGAAGCGCTCACAGCTGGAAGATTTGCTCAACACAAAGATCACTCAGCGTCCTACAGTTGAAGCCCTTGTGGAGAAGCATATCCTTGGTAAGTTAAAAAGCTTCACAATTTTTTTTTTTTTTTTTTTTTTTTTTTTTTAAAAAAAAAATAAATAAAAATAAAATAAAACTAATCTAACGGTTTTATTTATTTTGTTTTTCTGATCCTACATGAATACAGAGGCATAAGCGTCAACTTGGCTGGCGATAACATTCCCATAGGATTTCTTATCTCTTTACTTGTCTCCCTTTCTCTCTTTTCTGAAAATAAAATAAAATAAAAAAAAAAAAAAGTTATAAAGTGATCAAAGTTGTAAATTATGTGAAAAATCATTGGCGAACAGAGTATTTAAACTAAATCCCGCCGCTTTGTGTCCTTGCTGGGCTTTTTATTTTTTATTTTCTAGCAGGGTATTCTTAATTTAGATATATTTTTAAACCAAAGTGTTTGATAGAGTCTTCCTTTGGGGTCCTTTGGTAGTGGTGGCAAGAGTCACCCTTCACTGTTTCAAACAGCATTTCAATACGATCCTATTGCCATACCTCTTGTATAGATTATACACGGCTTTACAACTCATAAATAAAGTTTATTAACAAGCTGCATTTTTCTAATTTAAAGAAGGAATTTCTTCAGATACGTTGCTCTGATGATACAGTACTTGATATCACTAGTATTTATAGCACCAGATGATCAAAGACCTATTATATCTGTGAATCCATGACCATATCCTGTCGTTGTTGTATTTATTGTATTGAATTCAGGGGTGGATCTCAACATTTTATTCTCAGCGCTTTGACTACCACAAAAAAAATTCCAGCAGCCGTTGCAACAAGCCACAAGACCCCTCCAAAAAACAAATGAATGGCCGGCGGTACGGGATGCCTGTCCCCTGCGGCTATGGTGGCAAAACCGCGCACTTCTGGGCCACCGAACCAGCCCGAGCCGCCCATCCCCAAAATCAGACCGATAGTATATGGACCCTTGATCTTTCGTCTATTGGCCATGAAATTGCCTATGGTCTTGTAAATGGTGACGCGAATCTGTGGAGCATACAAACAGGGCAGTCCTTACGCATCCTGCAGGGCAATGGTGGTTGTGTAGATCATGCGATATCCTCATCTAGTGGTCGCCGGGTTGCTTCTTATAATGAGGGTGGTTGAATTAGAGCCTGGACAGCGCACTCAGATCCCTTGTATGAGGTTGAGGCCGGACGGCTGGTTGCGCCTTTTTTTGGTTTATTCGCCTGACAATCAGAAGAAAGCATATATCGGAAACCCGAAAAAATTACTAATACGGAGCTCAGAAACGAGTGAGCTTTGTTCCGAATCAGTCTTCGATGATGATCGAAAAGAGGTAGTATTTTCATCATTCAGCCAACGGGTGGTTGTTGGAAGTTGGGAGAGCTAATCAACATGGTGGATACAGAGTCAGGAGCCGCATTGCATATGTTTGAAGGGCACATCAGGAATATAGCCGCCGTAACTTATCCTAGCTCAGGCTAGTACATTGCTTCAAGTAGTTTGGACTCGACTGTATGGTTGTGGGATCCGGAGGCAGCCTTGTGTTTGGATTTTATTCCAAATAAAAGCGATTATGCCCAAGCCTTTGCATGGAATGCTTCCGAAGAAGGGCGCTTTCTAGTAACAGGGTATAGTGACGGCTGTGGTCGGACGTGGCAGGTTGCCAAGAGCAAGGGTGACTAATGTCCTGTCCGCTTGAAATGAATCGCAAAGCTGATAGCTCTTTGCACTCATTATGAAAATATTCAAGGTATATCTGGTTTGAGTAAAGCTAACAGAAAGCTTTTAAAACAATATGGAGCTGTCGGTGTACCAACCAGTGTCCAGCGCCTCAAAGAATAAACCATGAGGTCAAGCCCATGGTACCTATGCCATATGAGTCCAAAGTACTGAAAAAGCGGTATTTTGGATAGGAAAGCAAAAAGAATTAATTCCGAAGCAAGGCCATTGATTGCTAAAAGTGAAGGAGTCAAGGGGTATCGATTCATTTGCAGCAAATGTAGTGAGTACACCTAAGTGTTAAGCTGCACATTTTATTATAAATGGCTCTTACGACAGCATCGATAGCTCTGATCAGTTTTATGCAGAGGAGACATGCATATTGGCCTAATAGAGTAAAACACTCTTTTCTATCCTTCGTCTCTATAATAAAGGCTACATGATCTACTCGCTAAGATATGAATACTTGGTATCTCCTAAATGTTCAGCTTATCCAATGATACAAGTACCCTGTTATCTTTTATGTATAAAGCATGGATGCAACAATTAAAATGTATTTCAAGATGAGAATACAATGTCCTAGAAAAACAGCGTCGGGAGAAAAATTCCTGAAGATGGAGCTAAAGGATACGAAGATGTCACTCCTTTCATTTTTGAGTCATGCAATGAGAAAAAGAAGAAACATCGCTCTGTCAAAGTTGATTTTTTTTTTTTTTTTTTTTTTTTTGATTCAATACAATACACCTCTATTTGAGGAAGCACTCAGTATAACTGGAGCCAAACAATAGAACTATGACACCACCACCAGCGACACTCATGTCTGAGACTCAGTAGCGGGCTGGGGATCAAGAGCTCGAATACCATCCCAAAGAACAAAAAAAAATTGTCTTTTTCATAAATCGACAAATGTTGACCTGACAGTGATAAGATGTATGAATTCACTTATCTACTAGACTAGACAGGATCCTTTATAGTCTTATTGCCAATTCATTATCTACACACGCCTTCGCTGAACACTTTTAGTATAGAAGCCCAAATGGTTTTCTAGCCATTGTGCTCAGGATGATCCGCAGATATATAGCGATATTTTTCAGTCACCTGAGGAGCTTACCTACGTTTGTATGCAGTATATACTGGATGAAATTACATCTTAAAGTATGATTCTTTTAATTTGCTAGGTTTTGGTCATCGTTTTAGCTATAGAGCGAGCTCTTAAAACCGTGTTAATCATGGAGAAGGACTACTCGGTATTGCTTTAGATTGGGCGGAGCCCCAAGCCCGCGTTCCAAATCTTGGTAATTCCAGGTCGGTTCATGTTCTAACTTTCAACCAAATTAATTCAACTCAAACAACAGATTTGTGGAGTGACTCTGATCCAAATGGGTTCATAAATCAGAAACGATCTACACCTAATCTAAAACCATAGATTTCATGCTCTATAATCTCGTCCTCATGGAATGTACAAGTAAGCAATGGTTATTTCACTATCAATATGGTAAGGATTCAACGCCAAGACGCCATTGCACTGGCTTTATTCCCCCTATGGGTAAATAGCTTGGCCTAATTGAGTCCCTTAAAGCAAATGCATGAGCCCTTATGGCAGCAGCATTAAAAAAATACTCTTAACAAGTTTAATTTAGTCATTCAGTTCAAATCGGAAATATATTCGTTTGCGGTTTTCTGACAAGGACTCTAGTCATAGGGTATGTTCTGGTTGCGTATCCCAAAGTCTTAATACATTGTTGTATCGGCGCGCGATCTGTTCTCGACCTGGTAAGTGTTTCATGTCTCCGGTACAACTGGAATGATCTGTAAAAGTATGCGTAACTAAAGGGAAAAAGCATTTTAGATTTGAGGATAACTATCGGTTGCTCGATGCGTCAAGTGTTTCACCATACAAATGTTTTTTTTTTTTTTAATATAAAATCAGACTCTTTTACGCCTTTTCTTTTTCATTTTCTTCAAACAACTCACAACACTGTAAAAAGTTCCTCAGGCCTCCACTATCCACTCCACATCATGAAGTTCTCAATCACCGTTGCTCTTTCCATGACCGTTGCCGCCTTGATTATATTCACTCCCAATGTTGAAGGTAAGGTCTTTACGCATATCACGCGTTCATGTTTGTTCAGTCATGCTAAACATTTGACTTGCAACCGCTTTGTCTCTGTCTATTATCTGCCCCTACTCAAACACATACCACCTCTTTTTGATCTCATAGCTGCTCCAACTAACGCAGAGAAGGAGGCAATCAGAGTCACTCTTGGTCCATGGAAAGTCGCAACCCCAACCCAACACTAAAGCCCGCTCTTATTACTAGCCAGGGTAAAGAAGCGGGAATACCATTTATAGAACGAGATCAGCCTCAAAGATGATGTTTGCTGTACAAGAAATAGCTCTAGTCCACTGGCGGTCAAAATGGCGGATTTCTACACCTGATACGAATGCTGAAACTAAAAATAAATCTTTGCCTTGTTAAGAAAGATAATGCTCTTCGTTCTAAGGATTGTTTAAAAAAAAAAAAAAAAAAAAAAAAAAAAAAAAAGCATACATCTAGGCATTATATGAACCTTTAGAAAAAGATAATGGACAAAAGAAATAAAAGTAACCAATATTCATAACCTACGAGCTCATGAGCCTGTTGTTTTTGTGTGGCAGCACGGATGAAGTATATTAAGATAGACATGGGTGACTGACTGTACATGAAGTGGCATAGTTCTGTTTGCTTCTGAATGATTGTGAATAAGGGTAATAGCTCTGGTTTATGACTATTTCTAAAGCTCTGTTGAAGTGAATAAAGATGGGGGGACATTTGAACGCAGTATTGAACCTGTTGCCGTTGTAGAAATCCTACATTTTTATCTCCGCATCTTTGCAGAGTCACTGCGCAAGGCTCCTCTCATTTTAGCAACAATAATACTGCCGACTTCATTCTTAATCCATGTCTTTAAAGGTTAGCTTTAATGAGAATGTATTGTTTCTACTTTATTATCAAGCAATGATGCCTACTGCATGGAGTAATAAATGTCAATTGTTAGCAACTGATCTCAAAATAAAATCCAGGAACAATCGGCATATCCAACTGATCATTCTCCTCCCTTCCTCCGCTGCCACCCTATCTACCACTCTTCTTAGGACTTGGCGCGCCTGGGGGCGCTTTTCTTCTACTGCTTAACGCTAGCTCCCAGCAGGTAACAAAGAAGCTGTTTGTGTTTGGATAACGAACGATTCCATTAATATGCTTTTCGGTATAACCAATAGCAAATAGCGTCGAAGGCAATGTCAGAGCAGCTGCCTATTGCTTGCTCTTAGCTCTTTGCTGGGCCTGAATTTCATCGATACTTAACAGCATCATCACGACTTGGTATGGGATATGAGTATTTCTGATGCTGGTGGTGGAACTTGATCTATTCAAAGAACCCCATTTATTGATCTGATAATGTTGGTTTTAGTTTTAGTCACGTGGAGCGGGTTCGCCACCAACTATTTAACGAACAACAGCTCAAGAAAATCTGGCCCCTTGTTCCTTCTTTTACACAAGAGCCATTTGAGTACTGACTGTTTTCGTTCAGTCCTTGAGTAGTGTGCTGTTCTTTTATTGTGTTAGAGAGTTATCTCATCTATCTGTAGCTGGAAGTGACCAGCTTCATAAACCACCAAAACGACCCAAAATCTCCTATCATACCTATCCCTAGATTTTCTTAAATAAAAAAAGTTCTTGGCGTTAAAAAACAACAAAGAGTCACATTCAAAGCCTCTAGGAGACATTTTGTAACATCACGGCCTGGGACTACAAAGCTTTGAAGGCCTATCTTGGGAGTCTTCAGGCGTCAATCTCAAACCCGTGCTTTCACCTTCAAGGTGGCCTTCCAGTGCTATTTTAGGTTCCCTAAAGTAAACTTGAAATGTCAGTCTAGGGGGAAGTCAGAGGGTATTATTGTCTGGAGTCTAACGTTGCTACGATGGTGCTGACTATTTATAATAATTGCTAGCAACGTGAAAACCGGTATTAATATGAGTAATGTATAATATGTAGCAGCGAGCGATGTGAGCAATGCGTTTGCATGTCCTTTCTTTGCCTCTTTGTGTTGAGGCGGCGGCTTGCGATGAAGACGATGTGGTACCAAGTATTTGTGCTAGTACCAGATATCGACGATAATCAGATGCTTTGGTGATCGACACCACGTTACAGACGAATAGGCTTGGGATGGCACTCAATTGTATTGTTGTTGTCCATGCCCATTTCAAGACTCGACTTGTTGCATGTGCTTTGATACGCACTGAGAGCACAGAGGATTATAAGTGGATATTCTAGCAGCTTCAGATATCTAGTGGAGGCCTTCAACCAACCGTCTTATTGATGGACGGCGATGCAGCAATGGATTCGGCATGCGCAGATGTGTTCAGAGAGACTCGAGTGGTTCTCTGTATTTGACACATAAAGAAAAACATACGCTAACAACTTCTCTCTGTACTTTGTAAAGACTTCCAAATCTTTAAGACGCGATTCGAGGAAGTGTGTGAGGCTTCAACTAAAGAGAGGTTCGAAGTTCTCTGGAATAGGTTACTAGACGACAATAAAGAGATTCCAAAGGTTGGTTCTTATCTGAAAAGTCTCTACAACCAGCAGTCTTACTGGGCAGGGCCTTGGATCAAGTCGCCGTTCACAGCGGGTATGCTATCGACACAACGTGTTGAAATGATGCATGGCCTCATTAAATCATTCGTGTTAATAGTCGAACATCTCTGGCCGATCTTTTTAAAGCACTCAGCAAGACTGTCGGAGACGAGCACTTCCGGGTCAAGCCGGAGTTGGCTATGGATAACCGCGATATCGCTGAGAGCATGATTGACAAGACGTTCCGACAAGTCCTGAAGTTGAACCGCAAGTATTAACAAGCTATTCCATGCGATTCGCAGCTGTGATGGGGAAGTCGAAAGCCATTGCAGATGAGCTGGCGAAAGCTTTCGTGCCGGATGACGAGTTCAATAGGTCATGGTGCAAAAGTCAAAGTAGTATTCTAAGAGGATCTAAGGGTGTAATAAAGGTATCTTTATTCAGGCATAAATAAAATTAAGAGCGAAAATTAAAAAAGAAAACAAGTTTGGATAGCAAAATAGCATTGCTGTAAGTAGGACCCTTTTTTTTTAAGTTTACACATGTGGCAAAAGAAAAGTCGGCTTGATTGTACGACAGCATTTATCATGGGATGCGAACTGATATTTATTTCCGTTTTTGTTATAAGTTCAGAGAGTGGATGTGAATGCTTTCTTTTATAAGACAAATTTTCATCCACTTGATTGGTATTCGATTTAATTCTTCAGGTTCGTACCGCCTGAATATGCAGCATCGATGTCGATTTTTATGACACGCTGTCTTACATGTTTCAAGTATCCAGGTATTGCCTTGGCATCCTGACTATCGTTAATAACAAACTTCTGAACCTTAAAATTATCATATTTGTATCCTGGTGCCACAAAATAGGGAAAAATAGTATCATCACTTCCCTTCGACTTTGATTAGTTTTCCTTCGAGCAGGGCCTGGTAAAATAATCAATTATCTCCTTGAACGGTGCTTGCTTGATCGGATGTTTCTCTGATACTGTGACCTGAAATAGCTTGTTGGGTCCCAATACAAAATCAATGCACGGAAAGTTGGGTATAGATGGTAGAAACAACTTGTCTGTTGTTTTGGAGAATGTTGAAAAATCTGCTGTAGTCCTGGTAAATAATACTTCCGAGTCCCTCGGAAGATCAAGGAATCCTGTTTCGTCTGACTGTAGGTCCACCACATCGAATTAAATAGTGAACATAGAGTTCAAACGAAGGTCCTTTATCTCTTTCACTGCCAACTTTGACAAATCGCTTCAACTCGTCGATCCGAATCTGATCTAATTCCATGATGATCCTTGATCGAACATAAGGAGATGTCCATACCAGGTGGAAGTCGAGGTGGTCAGAAGTGGGGACTCTATGGAGTAAATGACCACCCGCTTTATCTCCTACTCTAAAGAGGTCTGAAAGATCTCTTGGGGACTGGAGTACGCCAATGGCATCATTGACACACTGAAGCGCAGCCTTTCTAGCGTGGTCAATATCTTTTTGCTTTTCAGATAGTACATCGACTGGAACCTGTAGGACCTGTCTTGGCACTCCCCCCAACTGGTAAAAAAGTTCCTCCAAAAATCCTTCATCCATTGGATGATAATCCTCTACAATGGCTCTACATTCCTTAAGCTCGTCCAAACTCCAGAGTGACATGTGATAGTAGCTATATGGTGTAGTTTCCTTGTTGAATTCACCGTACTGCTCATTGAGAGTTTTTGGTGATGCCGCAAATATCGTCCTGGCTTGATCTGGTTCAGGATTCTTACCACTATCAACTAAGTACCACGTTTTAGGCCGAGCAAGGCGATCTCGGAATGTTTATATATTCCCATAACGTTGGCAAGTTGTTCCTCCATAAACATAACATTTGGAGCTAATCTTCCCTTGGAAAATAATAATCGGTGGATTTTCCTCATCGTGTTCCGCAAGGTGGCGGATGGCAAAATAGACCAAAAAGGCTGACTTCCCAATTCCAGGCGCTCCAGTGACAAAGTATCGGTTCTTGCGCCATATTGTACGAGGAGTCTTGATTAAGGTTGTAATATGGTCATAAAGCTTTTTATATTCATCTCTGATATAAAGATGCCTTGTTCCGGCAACAGGGAAGATACGACCCTCAGGGGCAGTCAATATTTTGGAATCCTTGATACCACCAGAATTTTGGAGCTCGCGAGCCACGCTAATAATGCTGTGGTAACAATCATCTACTGGTGCCTCCCCCATGTACGAAAGCACCTTGACCCTCTCTTTGGAGTTGAGAGGCGAGATGGTAGGGTAACCGTAACCATCCACTATCCCTTTCGTTACAAGCCCTGCTTCTGTAATCGCGTCCATAAGAGCATCTCTATTCATGCTTGGACGAGCTTTTTTAGAGGGTGACTCTGATAAAGGAGATAGAGTGATCAAAGTCAATATTTTTGATTTATTGCACATCACTCTGAATTGATCAATAACCAGGTTCTCGGCCAAAAGCACTCACCAGAATCTCCATCTTGTTTTCTTTTCTGAGCTAAGTGTCAAAAGCGAATAGTTAGAAAGAACGTTGAGTTATCAGGGCACAAACCAAATGGTGATATTATGCACATGGCCGTTTAAGATATAAACCAAGCTTCATCAGCTGAAAATATCAACAATCAGTCCGGAACAGATCTACTGCGCTTGTGGGTAGCCTCATCTGAATATACAAGGAGTATCGCCATAGAAAAATCCATTTTGAACCAAGTTGCTGGAGCTGTGCGCAAGTTCCGGTCCACAGCTCGGTTTATGCTTGGTAACCTTAATGGTTTCAACGAATCGGAGGCTGTAGGCTATGAGGATCTGAGTCGTCTTGACAAGTTCATGCTTTCGGAGGTCTATCATTTCTGTAAGAACGTTAATGCTGGTTATGATGAGTACATGTTCAACAAAGGTAAGAGAAGCAGAGAGAGAGAGTTCTTATTTTTTTTATTTTATTTTTTTTTATAAAAATAAAATTACAATGTATTGAATAGTTCGCAGGGCCTGACATGTAGTTTTTATTTTGTTAATTGACCTTGTAGTGTATGGTCAGCTGCAGTCCTTTAGTAGCACAATCCTTTCATCTTTTTATTTGGACATCGTCAAAGATACTTTGTACTCAGAGGTGGAAAACAGTTTGAAGCGCCGTGCAGTTCAGGCAGTGCTCTTCCATGTAAGTTATTAGCCTACTGCCGTTTTCAAACAGTTTTTGTTTCTTGTGGCTGTAATGAACTGAAATACTCAATCTGTTTTTTTTTTTTTTTTTTTTTTTTTTTTTTTTTTAAAAAAAAAAGACCTTGACTGCTTTCATAAAAAGCATTGCTCCACTAGCACCCTATTTTGCTGAAGAAGTCTATGAGCATTATCGTGGTCGTTTTACCAATCCTCAACCTAGTGTGTTCCGTGTTGGCTAGTTAGAAGCTCCAGAATCATGGAGCAATACTACACTTCGTGAAGAGTTCCGGGTGGTGAAACAGCTTCGTGTTGAGGCCAATCGGTTGCTTGAGCAGGCTCGAGTTGCTAGAATGATCAGGCCTTCATTGGAGGCCATCGTTGAGATTTGGTTGCCTGCTGCAGAGGGTACTAAGGCGGAGCAGCAAGAGCAACAGCAAGAAGATGTACTAACTCATATAGTCAAAACATATGCAGCCGATTTGGCAAGGATCTTCATCACATCGGGTGTTACCATTTTTAGTGCATTTGTCATAGTCAACGTGCTAATTTTGAATAACAGAAAGGAAGCAACATTGGGTGAAGTGCTAATAATGTGCGTGTTTTCAGTTTCAAGGCTTGATCGACACATGTCAATAACGTCAATGGGTCCATAGAAGTAGGCTATGACTAATGCAGGGGTGTTAAGGGGAAAAAAAAAAACGATGACTCGCGAAGGCGTGTTATTTTTGATTTCGGTTAAGGATGCTAAAGACTTCTAGGCCACAGACTATAGATTATGAACTATGGGCGATGGACTATAGACTTGTAGACTCTGGATTCTATTTTTGTGGCAATGGAAGAAATCGGATGGAACGGTTTTATTTTATTTCTCCACCAAAGCACCAAAAATGGCTACTCCTTGTTACTCCGCAACCATGGGCCGTATTTGGTAGTGTAAGAGACACGTGGAATCGAACAATGAGAGCAAATAGATAACAAACATCAGGACCACTTCATTTCAGTAGGGGGAAAAAAAAAAAAAAAAAAAAAAGCCATCGTCAACGCTTGACCTTGCATCAAAAAAAAAAAAAAAAAAAAAAGGAGGTAGTCTTATCCATTGAAGACAAAGACAAAGAGAGAGTGAATTGATAGGAAAAATAAGCATGCAAATTGCTTCAATGTCCGAAATTCTTCCTTGACTCCCTTTCTCAGCTTATTTCTTCTCCTTCTAAATATTCTAAATAATAATAATAATAATAATAATAATAATAATGATGATGATAATGATAGTATATTTTTATGGGTTGATTGTCTTTGACCTTATTTGTCTCTTTTTGGACCACATGAAAGACAAAATAGTCGTGTTCAAAACCACTCTTTCCCGCCACAATTGATATTTTTTTTTTTTTTTTTTTTTTTTTTTTTCGAATAAAAAAAAAAAAGCTCATTGGCGACTGTTCGGACTCCATATGATACTGTATAAACACCTGAACACTACCACATGTCATTGACTACTCTACGTCCCTTAAACAATATTCTTAGCATACATCTGGACTTTTGCAAGGGATGTGTCAATACTTCGACAAACATGTAACATTTAATGGCTACATCACAGCCCTTGGATTGTGGAAGCGCTGAAAGTATGCGGAAAACGGGAACCATTTGTGTTTTTACTAGCAACAAGCGTGCTTTCAAAAAGTTTGCTCCAAAGAACAGATCCTATATCCTTCATTGCTCAAAAGAGACAATCTTGTCTTTTCTGCGCCCTAAAAGCGCCCCATAGTCCCATTGAGGCGTTCAGAGGCATTATTTGCCTCATGGCTTGAGGATTAGCAGACTTTCAGTCAAGTTTTATTGGTTTGAACATCCTGTCCATTCGAAGTTGTCTCTCTGGATGGCAGCACCTATTCAGGGCTAATCAATTCCGCTAGATACGATTAAATCAAGGGGGATTTGGAAAACCAACAGGCATCGAACAATCGCCTTAGCAAGTGAGTGAGGACCTTCTCTGTGGCGCGCACGGACCATGGGGGCGACTTTTCAAATTCTTTTATAGAGATGAAATCCAAAGTCGCCCCCGGCTATACTCCTGGTCGGGTAATCTTTGTATTCAGACCATAATACCAAGGCTCCCAAAAATGTAGAGACTTGGCTCTCTCGGTTGCTAAATCTAACAAATAATCTAGTCTTCTTCTCTCTGGTATGGTTTCAGAGACAAGGAAACGCAAACCTGACCATGGATAAGCAGTACCTGAATCCCTTCTTTATAGAATTCGTAAGCTCTATCTGCTTTATCCTAATGCCCATTATCTTGTCGCAGTGACGGAATTCTCTCATGTAGTCTGGAAGTGGGCCGCTACACAATTCGCGCTCAGTTCCTTGCTGGGTAAACTAAGATCCTCCACTGTGAATAGGACAATTTGAATATATGGCTGACCGGACGCCTGGGTGGACCGACGGTGCCTGGGTCCCCTTTTCTCATCCAGACTCTGACAGACTGAAGACAAAGTCATTCCATTCATCATATAGTTTTTAAAATTAAATTTCACGCATAAAATCCTCTCTCTGACCTGAACTTGACAGAGGCTGAAGTGCACAACGCGAGAGTGAATCCAAGAAAGGAGAAGAGTAATTGATCACCCACGAGCGATTCTTCAAGATTTTATCGTATGCTTCTTATGACGAAGACTCTAAAAAAAAGTTATCGGCATTGTATTTGAATAATCTGGGGAAGCAGCTCGTATGTTACATGCATGGATTTTATCAACTAACATGGAACTTTGACAAAGAGGTTGATGCATTAATTTATTGAAATGTTTAGTCGTCGTGTTTTTACTAAAATATTAAGGTGGATCAGCTGGAGCTATCAAACAAGCTCTTTTTAACTTCGTCCCAACAAACATGTCTTATCTGGGGATACTCCAGGACTTTACCCGTGTGATTGGCCGGCCCATGTATTTCTTTACCTTCGCAAAAGTCATTCTTCCCGCGAATATACACAATCCTAAAGTCCGGACACATCACACCGTTTCTCGTTACTTTAAAGTTCCTTTTATACAAGTTGGGCTTGTCGGCAAGCTCTGTTTTCTCCATTTCTGCTTTGTGAGTTCCGCCGTATGTGTGGTCTAGGAAATACTCGATTTGATTTCTTTTACCAGAATGTTCCCGACTTGTAAATGCCAAATCAACGTTTGCAGAGCCATCGTTGTGTTTTTGAAAATTAGAGATCGAAATTTGAATAAAAGTGTAGCCAAGTATAAAATCGAATGGAGCTAGTTCGCATCCATGTATCAGTATATTCTTGCCCTCGTCGCCGAGTTTTCTAGGTGGGGTTTGAAGATACTGATAGCCATCGACTCTCAGCTCTAAAATTTGTTCCTCCTTTCCAGCAAGATTAGTTGACTTGAAAACTATGTCGGTACTTTTGATAAGCGACTGGAAGAAAGCATCGGAAAATTGGGCATGATTTAAGGCACCCCCCTTTATAGCATCTTTGTATACGTCGGGGAGTGGGCATGACTTGTATAGTTCGAAAAGCGCCGCCTCGGATGCTGGTGTAATTGGGCGCTTTAAAATTAAAAGACTGGCCTTGTCCGGATCCTCATACTGATATACTATTCCAAAATCGAGGAATTTGCAATCAAATACCGCGTCTAGGTGCTGGTTGTCTCGCAGAAACACATCGGCTAGAGCTCTACGGATATCTGTTTTAGACATCGGATCAAGTCCTAAGTAATAGGCCTTCAAGGTCCCAGAGAGCTCTGACTGACGAGTTTCCTCATAGGTTTTTAGTCTTCGCTCGATTTCATCAGCTGTGAACTCAATCTCTCGAAAGTCTTTGCCAAAAAATTTATTAAGCTCCCGTGGTATACGTCCGGTGGCTCTTTGAATCTCGTCTCGTAGCTTGTCCAAATGTTGGCGGACTGTTGGCCTGAACGTACCTATGATCACACTCAGTAACTTATCGAAAGTAATGGGTGACAGTGGACCAACAAACTCGAAATAATGTGATGCGTCTCTGAGAATAGTCCTCTCAAACCTCCCATGCGTCCCTGTGTATACTACACGCGCTCCAGCATAGTGTGACCCCCATGAATTAAAGGAGTTCAAACAATGTAACAAATCAAACTTCATTGTTGCTGACTCTGTACCATGTGGAAACAAGGCTCCAAGCTCATCAATAACAAAAAGAGTTTTCTGTTCTCTTTGTTGGAGTAGATTGCGTAAAATGTATCTAGCAGTTGAAACCACAAGAGGTTTTGTTGTATCCTGAAAATTAACCATTTTTGCAAGCTCTTCCCCTGTTAGAATGTCTTTGTTGAAAGTTATAAAGATCTGACATATAATGGTCGCTGCATCTTCCTCTGATACACACCACTGAAGAAACCTGGCGTCGGGGATATAGAGGACTGGCCACCCATGAGCATATGCCTTAGCAGCTAGAAACCAAGCGATATATGATTTCCCGACTCCCATGGGGCCAGACAGGCATCTTTTAATCGACCATTCAGAATCCCCACCAAGTAACTCCCATAGCTCCATCATCTGCTCAGTCACAATAAGCTCGTGACCTTGATAGTCTTCCGCAAAGAACTTGGGTGACTGGCCGAGACTTTTTACCCTGATTTGATCTCCCACTTTTACGTTTCTGAACTGCGAGAAAGCAGAGCGTGGTTCTACACCTTTGCTATTGTCCCCAAGCATGCCTATTAGGAAGTTGGGCAACGGCACTCGGATGCCGTAATGGTGAGTATAGTATGACCAAAATTCTGACGAACGACGACGTTTTGTACGACTTTCTCCTGTGTATTTTAAAAGTAAGACGAGTGAGCGATACGAAAAACAATAATGCTTCAAGGTTCGTGAGATCAATGGTCATCGATGCAGCATAGCAAACTTACCGTCTAAATCAACATCATCTTCTCGATTTCTTTTTGAAATTGCTAAATATTCACATGGACAACAAACAGTCAGACGATTATTATATGACCACGTTGAGAATGAAAATAAGCTACATCAGTGGAAAATATCAACAACCAGCCCGTCGAGAACCAAATAAGAATAGAATAGCGCTGAAAAAAGTCCTATTATCATTTAATCAAATCAGCACCTGTAGCTGATGGATGTAAATGAACCTAAACCACAAACAAAAAAAAAAAAAACAACAGCGTTGTGAAAGGACAAAAATAACAGTGGGAGTCTGAGGATGTGCACGGAACATGGAGGGGCGACTTTTCAAATTCTTTTATAGAGATGAAATCCAAAGTCGCCCCCAGTTAAATAGTGTTGCCGAGAAACATCTCAACAACATAAAAAAGCGAGGGATACACGTGACCGTGCTGAGACAGAAAATAAGCTTCCTCAATTGAAAATATAACCATCAGTCCATCAAGAGCTAAATACATACCTGGCGGCGGCAGCTTGACAATGATGTGAATGCGACCTTTTGCTGCACCTTTTGGAAAATAAGTGCTGAGTTCTTCAAGTTCATCGAGCACTACAAGCGATTCTTCGGATAATGTTTCCAATCCTTTCTTCGTTGTGCCGCCGGGGATGAGCTTGAGAGTGAGCTTCTCCGGTGGGATATCACCAAATCTAGCAGGCGAATAGATGGCTTGCTTGAGTTCACCGACCGAAAGATTGGAAAGAATATTTACAGGAAAAGACGTTGCTTCTCCATTAACAATACAATAGATCTTTAGGTTGGTTGGCTCTTTCTCAACCTCTCTTTCTCTTTCAATCGAACCACGTCTAGATGGACCATTTGGTGTTGTTGTTCCGCTTCCCATTGTGATTTCAAAACTGTTTAAAAACAAGGGTGTAAATGGACGGAGGACAGAAAACAGGAAAAGTTTGATCAAATTGTTAAGTATGGTAAGTCAGTAGCAGGATGGTTCAAAATTGTGACAATGTAAGCTGTGGAGATGAAGATGGAGGAAAAGAAAAAAAGAAAAAAAGAAAAAAAAAAAAAAAAAGGAAAGGAAAGGAAAGGAAAGGAAAGGAAAGGAAAGGAAAGGCAATGAATGAAGGCTTGGAATAAATGAAAAAGGAAGAGGAGAAGATATGTGAAGGGAGCAAAACTGGGGGGAAATAAGAAAAAAGTGAAAAGAGGATAAAGGAAGAAAAGGAAGAGGAGAGTGCAAAAATGAAGTGAAGCAAGTTAAAGAAAGGAGCGACAATTGATAAACTTGTTCCTTTATTTCAAGGTTGGGCTATGCTGTGTGTGAGAAATTGTTGCACAAGACGCCATGCGATTAAAGATTAAATTGGCCCCCAAGTGTGACATAACATGTATTATTTAAATACACAAACACTATTCATCTCTTTAACTCTCTTGTTTTCACCACACAATCGAAAGTGTGCACATCCACTCTTCACCTTACATTCATCCCACTATGAGCATGTCTAATACCTCATTCCAAGAACAAGAAGCTGTTACTGATATTGTAAGTGTTCAGACGCGAACAATAATTTTTTGTATCAGTGCTTTCTTGGTGATATCTAAGCAAAATTATGCTTTAGAGAAAACCCTTGACGCGTCAAACTTTAGGAAGGATGGGGAGAATGACAGCAAAGAAAGAAAAGATGGCAATGAAGAAAAAGAGGAGGATGATCAAGTAGATATCCCAGCAATTATATTAGTTGCCCCATAAAGTCTAGTTCATTGCTTGAGAGTAATAAAGAAAAAACTTGGCATTTGGACGTTAAGAATGGACTCAATAATATTGGTTTTGTGCAAGCCTGAGGGCGAAGTTCATGTGCACATGCACGCGCCGAAAGGCAAACGTGGCATGCTCCTGCAGACACTTCTCTGGGACCAAACGTGACATTTTGGCTGGAGGTCTAAAAAATTTCTAAGTTGAACACACCACAGGAAAGGCTCTTTTTTTTTATTTTTTTTTTATTTCCAAGTCATTTACACCACAGGGAGCTTTTTTTTTTTTAAGATGAGAATGATGGGAGGTAAATTTCGTAATGAATAAATGAGGTTGTGAATGAGAGCAAGAAAAACAATAGCATGCTTCACATGTAGGCCATTTTCTTGTGATCTGCAAACTTTGCTTAAAAAAAAAAAAAGAGCCTTTCCCTGCGGTGTTTTCGACTTAGAAATTTTTTTAAGCCAAAATGTCAAGTCCCAGCCTGTGAGAGAAGAGCAAGCCACATCTGCCTTCCAGCACGTGCATGTGCACATGAACTTCGTCCTCAGGCTGGTGACGAGCCTAGTGAACCCATCTGATACTGTATGAACACCTGAACACTGCCACATGCTATTGACTACTCTACGTCCCTTAAACAATATTCTAAGCATACATCTGAACTTTTGCAAGGGATGTGTCAATACTTCGACAAACATGTAGCAATTAATGGCTATATCACAGCCCTTGGATTGTGGAAGCGCTGAAAGTATGCGGAAAACGGGAACCATGTTTTTACTAGCAACAAGCGTGGTTTCAAAAAGGTGTGCCTCCAAGGAACAAATCCTATATCCTTCATTGCTCAAAAGTAACAATCTTGTCTTTTCTGCACCCCAAAAGCTCGCCATAATCCTATTGAAGCGTTCAGAGGCATTATTTGCCTCATGGCTTGAGGATTAGCAGACTTTCAGTCAAGTTTTATTGGTTTGAACATCCTGTCCATTCGAAGTTGTCTCTCTGGATGGCAGCACCTATTCAGGGCTAATCAATTCCGCTAGATACGATTAAATCAAGGGGGATTTGGAAAACCAACAGGCATCGAACAATCGCCTTAGCAAGTGAGTGAGGACCTTCTCTGTGGCGCGCACGGACCATGGGGGCGACTTTTCAAATTCTTTTATAGAGATGAAATCCAAAGTCGCCCCAGTTAATATTTTAGCGTGTTATTAAATTTCTATGACAAGCCTTTTTATAGGATTAAGAACTATATATATTATGTATTACTGTATACTGTGACGAAAATTCTAAGTTGGGATATTTTTAAAAAGTTTCTCTTTGAGCTCGTCGAAGCTGACATGAAGAAGATCTTTGTAATCCTTGATTAATCCAGTGTGGTTTGCTGCACCAGGGGAACCACGCATGTAAACTATTTTAAATCCAGTTACTGGCTCTCCATCCTTTTTGACAACAAAATGCCCATCGTCAATTATGGCGGAATGATTACCTCCAAATACTTCGTCCAAATAGCTTTCAATCTGATTTCTGCCGTCGGGACCTCTCTTATCAAAAGCGTTCTGGATTTGCTTAATTTGTTTCTTCTCGTGTTCTTGGAAATTACTTATGGACACCTGGATAAACATTGTGTCGAGTATGAAATCAAAGCGAGGATAAGTCGAATGACAATGGCTCAGTACATGTCCATAGCCACGTCCAAGAGAAGTCATGCCTTGATGGATTGTCCCATGATCCTTAAAGTCCACTATAATCTCCGTTGGATTCACGCCGATAAGGTTTGTTGCTTTGAGAACGATTGGCTTGGTTAAAGTCAAAAGCCGGACTAGCAGTGCCAACTCGAAATCATCTCCACTCATCTCTCCAAGAATAACTCCCCTCAGGATATGCTCATGATGAGGCATATTTGTAAACGCCTGAAAGAGTGCTTTCTGCGCTGGGAGGCACAAGACATAGTTTATGGCTCCGCGGTTCTTGTTGAGACGATAGATAAGCCCTAGGTCACGGAAATCCCATTCAAAATCACTACTCTGCGAGTTGTTGCCAAGGAAGACTGTTGCAAGGCTTTTAGCGAACTTCTTCTTCGATTCATCGCTGCAAGATCTGTAGTACGTCCAAACTACAGTGTGAAACTCGCCTGTTCTCTCAGTTACATACGAATCAATGCTATTTCTTGTGAGTGGTCTTTCCTCAATTGACCGGATGAGGAACATAAACTCTCGTGGCACACGGTTTGTAATCCTCATTATATCCTGGACAATATCGGGTTGGTTCAGGTGGACCTCCAACCATTTTGAAAACACTGTCTCGGATAGTGGGCCAACAAAGTACAATAAGGTATTTCGAAGACTGCCTGGCATAATCTCCAATTCATATTTGGCATGGGCTGTTCCTGTAAATATCGCTCTAGATCCTTTGGATTCAGCTTCCCATCGAGTGAGATCCTTTAGATGGTTCAAGAACAGGTATTTATCTGGCACGTACGGCTCTTTTTGGAATAACTTTCCATGTTCGTCGATAATGAATAGTGTTTTGCGCTCCTTCTGTTTGAATAGGTCGAATAATGCGCGACCAGCCGCAATTGAGCAATCTATAACTTCAGAAGCGTCGAGGAGACTTTCCAGATCAGATGCCGTCAAGATATCCCTGTTGAGAGCGAAGAAGATCCTTAACAGTGCCTTTGCCGATTTTATTTCCTAGAGCTTGACGAGTAATTGGTTGGAATATCGGTTCAATTTTACTATAACAGTTCTTCAAAGTCTCCAAGAATTGTTCTTTGCGATCCTCCTCATAATCCTTTAGTCGTTGCTTAATCCCATTAGCCGCGAGCTCAATGCCTTCAATGTCGTCGCCAAAAAAAAATATTGAATTCCCGTGGCACACATCCGGTGGCTTTTTGAATCTCGCCTCGTAGCTCATTCAATTGTTGGCGGGCTGTTGGGTGGACCTTATTTATGATCACATCCAGTAGCTTATTGAAAATATCAGGCGACAGTGGACCAACATACTCGACATAGTGTGGTGCGTCTCTGAGAATGAGCTTTGCAAATCTTACCGTACTGCTAAACACTACTCTCGCATTATTTGAATTGTTCCAAGAGTTGAAAGTCTTTAGAGGCCATAAAACTGGGAACCTGTCGGGCGCAGACTTACTATTTTTCTGGAAATAATGCACCATGCTCATCCACGACAAATAATGCCTTCTGACTTCTTGACTGGAGTAGGTCACCCAAGATACTGCTGGCGCTACTCACAAAAAGATTTTCCGATGTTTCAATTTCGACCATTTCCTCGAGCTCTGAGGCTGTCAAAGTATCTTTGTTGTTGGATAAGAAGAGTTGACAGATCAGTCGTGATGCGTCAGTATTAGTGTCACAATTGTTAAGTTGATTAGCATCCGCAATATAAAGCACTGGCCAACCATGTGCATATGCCTTGGCCGCAAGGAACCATGAAATGTATGATTTGCCGACGCCCATTGGACCGTAAACATTTCTTGACAGACGACTCACTGTTCTCGAGTTCATTCCATAGCTTCATCATCTATTCAGACATAAAAAAACTCGCGACCTTGATAGCCTCTCGCAAAGAATATTGGGTTCTGACCAAGATCCATTGAAGTAATTCGATTCCCAGCCTGCACCATCAAAAGCGATTGGAACTCGGCGCGAGGTTCTGGTGCACACTTGTTATTTTCGCTCAAATTCAGTATATGTTGGGGTAAAACTACGAGTTCGCCATCGACTGCAATATATCGCTTCAAGGAACGACAGCGCTTCGTAAGGTGCTCTTTGAGCATATAAGAATAGCGAGACTGACGTGAGTATGGAATAAATAAATTTTCTCAAGAATCATCAAAACTATGAATGGAATAAACTCACTTTCTAAATCTTCGTCTTCTGTGTCTTCTAGGCTCCTTTGGGACTTCTTGGGGCTATTTAAAATCCACGCAATAAACTAACAAGAGGATAGTTAGATAGGAGGCTTTGATAAAAGTACTTGTATGCGATAGAGCAGTGGGGAGCCGAAATAAGCTCAAGCAAAAAGCCTCGCGAGAGGACAGTGAGAGTCAGAGTATACGCACGCACCATGGAGGCGACTTTACAAATTCTTTTTACAGATCAAACTGTGCATTTAACAATTAAGCACCATTTACCACTATGCCTACTACCGCCCTCTGAATAATTCTCTACAAATAGCAAGACTGGATATTTTTGGCTATTCTAGAATGATTTGGGCGATCTAAAAGTCCCATAAATATAAACAGATCTAAAGTCGTCAAGCCGCATCTGCGTATTTATCTCAATCTGGTCTCTCATCTCATCTACAACCCGACGCGGCACCCTTTGATAGGATGACGCTTAAAGTTAGAAGATGAATGGAGTAGAAGCTTCCTTTATTGATAACACTATCCAACACTATCAAACAATGTTTGCAAAGAATAGGCTTTTGAGGTCGTTGAAGCTTACATGTTCTACATCTGGCAACTCTGTAACGAGCTGGCGGTGATTCCCTAGGTTAATATCTCTACCACAAATGTAGACGATTCGGAATCCAGGAACAACTTCATCAATACCTGTTGTCGGGTCTTTTTTGGTGACAATAAATCCATCCTTTCCAAAATCAGCTCTATGCTTTCCACCATACATTTCATCCAAGTAACACTCAATCTGATTCCTATCATTATACACCACTTTGGGTGTCTTGTACGGTCGCTTAAATGCTTTCCTTAAATCACTTGAATCTCTGTTATGCACTCCAAACTCGCTGACAGACACCTGGATGAATATTGGTCCAACCATAAAGTCAAATCGAGGATATCCTGGATAGCCACGGGCCAAGAATTTATCTTTTCCCGGGCCAAGAGAATGTCGTTGCCTGCTTATAACTCGGTAGTCATCGAAGTCCAACACGATCGAGCCCTTAGGATCACCAACGAGGTTCGTTGTAGGGAGCACTATTGGCCTAATACTAGTGCAAATAAATGCATGAAAAATTGCTTGCTCAAATTCATTTCCACTGAACCTATTAGCCTTGAGCCGATTCTTTAGATCTTCTGGCATTCCCATTGTCTTGAACTGATCCAAAAGTGCTCTGAAGGCTGTATTGCATAAAGGGCGGAATAAAATTACTCCATCTCTCCTTAGACGGAACAAAAGACCCAGATCTATGAAATCCCACTTGAACTCTCCTTCGACAGAACCATGTAAGAACGCCGAGGCAAGGCCATTATAAAAATTTGTACGGGTCGTCTCGGATTTTTCGATGCTTTTGTAGTAGTTCTGGATGTTGTGAGAAAAATCCAACCTTCGGCAGTCTTCAAACTTCTCGAATGCCTCCTTAATGGGTAACTCTGGATTCTCTTCAATATAGGTTGACAAGTTCATCAGCTCTCGTGGTACAAGGTTCGTGATACTCCGTATATCCTCGTAGTCCGTGGATTGGAGATTGGGAGTATGCTTCAACAGATTCTTGAAAGCGTCATCCAACAAAGGTCCCACGAATACCACTGTTTTAAAGTCCTCCTTAAAGCTCGATTCCATGATCTCCAATTCGAATTTTGCATGCGCTGTGCCAGTGAGAATCAAACGAGATCCAGCCAAGTCTTCAGTCCAACTGGAAAGGTCCATCAGAGGTTTTAAAGATTTAAATTTTTCTGGTACTGGTTTGTCGAATCTGAAGAGTTTCCCATGTTCGTCAATAATAGTTAGAGTCTTCCGTTCCTTCTGCATGAGCATGTTAAAAACGCGTATGATAGCAGTATTCCATATGCCACCTTGAACACCATAGCCGGATACAAGCGTCTCCAGTTCGGCAGCAGTTAAAACATCCTTGTTCATCACAAGGAAACGCTCGATCACTTCCATATATGAGTCCGCTTTCTCACTAGTATCCAAAGTACCCGCATCTGATATGTAGAGGGTAAGCCATCCTTCAGCATATGCTCTTGCTGTCAAAAAATAGGAGAGAAAGCTCTTGCCAATACCCATTGGACCAGACAAGACTCGTCTGTATACGCACCTTTGTTCTTCTTCCATCTCGTTCCAAAGCTCCAGCATTTGGTGCGTGACGAGAATTTCAGAGACTCTATAACCCTTTGGGACTTGACCCAGGGATGGTATATCGACCCAACTACCAGCCTTCAGATCGTCTTTGAGATGTTCAAACTCATTACGTGGTTTTGGAAGGTATCTAGAATCCTCTAGCATTGCGATCCAAGAGGGTGGTAACGTGACCATTTTGCCATCAGAAGCCCTGTATTCTCTCCACCCTTCCTCAATGCGTATCTTCTTTGAAGGTGAAATATACTGTGGATCTAATTATGATCATCGTACACATACACAGTTGGTTAGTACCATAACATATAGCCAGTCATCAAGTCAATCTATTTATACAGCAAAAAACAAATTATTACCTTCGTCCATTTTTCTCTTGAGAATCTGTCCCGATGTCTCTAGAAAGATAAGAGAGCGCAGCAATGGCAGAAATGTTAGCATTTTGATCAGATCAAAGAATATATTGCTGTCAATGAGATATGAACGCCAGCTAATGGAGAGTCAGAGCATGTGTGCGAAACGCGAAACAGATTCAATCAGAAAAACTAACAAATGCATCAATGTAAAAGGTCAAATAAAAATAAAAATAAAAATGAAAACTATGTTCTCAGACAACAGTGAGAGTCAGAGCATGCGCACGCACCACGGGGGCGACTTTTCAAATTCATCTCAACAACATAAAAAAGCGAGGGATACACGTGACCGTGCTGAGACAGAAAATAAGCTTCCTCAATTGAAAATATAACCATCAGTCCATCAAGAGCTAAATACATACCTGGCGGCGGCAGCTTGACAATGATGTGAATGCGACCTTTTGCTGCACCTTTTGGAAAATAAGTGCTGAGTTCTTCAAGTTCATCGAGCACTACAAGCGATTCTTCGGATAATGTTTCCAATCCTTTCTTCGTTGTGCCGCCGGGGATGAGCTTGAGAGTGAGCTTCTCCGGTGGGATATCACCAAATCTAGCAGGCGAATAGATGGCTTGCTTGAGTTCACCGACCGAAAGATTGGAAAGAATATTTACAGGAAAAGACGTTGCTTCTCCATTAACAATACAATAGATCTTTAGGTTGGTTGGCTCTTTCTCAACCTCTCTTTCTCTTTCAATCGAACCACGTCTAGATGGACCATTTGGTGTTGTTGTTCCGCTTCCCATTGTGATTTCAAAACTGTTTAAAAACAAGGGTGTAAATGGACGGAGGACAGAAAACAGGAAAAGTTTGATCAAATTGTTAAGTATGGTAAGTCAGTAGCAGGATGGTTCAAAATTGTGACAATGTAAGCTGTGGAGATGAAGATGGAGGAAAAGAAAAAAAGAAAAAAAGAAAAAAAAAAAAAAAAGGAAAGGAAAGGAAAGGAAAGGAAAGGAAAGGAAAGGAAAGGCAATGAATGAAGGCTTGGAATAAATGAAAAAGGAAGAGGAGAAGATATGTGAAGGGAGCAAAACTGGGGGGAAATAAGAAAAAAGTGAAAAGAGGATAAAGGAAGAAAAGGAAGAGGAGAGTGCAAAAATGAAGTGAAGCAAGTTAAAGAAAGGAGCGACAATTGATAAACTTGTTCCTTTATTTCAAGGTTGGGCTATGCTGTGTGTGAGAAATTGTTGCACAAGACGCCATGCGATTAAAGATTAAATTGGCCCCCAAGTGTGACATAACATGTATTATTTAAATACACAAACACTATTCATCTCTTTAACTCTCTTGTTTTCACCACACAATCGAAAGTGTGCACATCCACTCTTCACCTTACATTCATCCCACTATGAGCATGTCTAATACCTCATTCCAAGAACAAGAAGCTGTTACTGATATTGTAAGTGTTCAGACGCGAACAATAATTTTTTGTATCAGTGCTTTCTTGGTGATATCTAAGCAAAATTATGCTTTAGAGAAAACCCTTGACGCGTCAAACTTTAGGAAGGATGGGGAGAATGACAGCAAAGAAAGAAAAGATGGCAATGAAGAAAAAGAGGAGGATGATCAAGTAGATATCCCAGCAATTATATTAGTTGCCCCATAAAGTCTAGTTCATTGCTTGAGAGTAATAAAGAAAAAACTTGGCATTTGGACGTTAAGAATGGACTCAATAATATTGGTTTTGTGCAAGCCTGAGGGCGAAGTTCATGTGCACATGCACGCGCCGAAAGGCAAACGTGGCATGCTCCTGCAGACACTTCTCTGGGACCAAACGTGACATTTTGGCTGGAGGTCTAAAAAATTTCTAAGTTGAACACACCACAGGAAAGGCTCTTTTTTTTTATTTTTTTTTTATTTCCAAGTCATTTACACCACAGGGAGCTTTTTTTTTTTTAAGATGAGAATGATGGGAGGTAAATTTCGTAATGAATAAATGAGGTTGTGAATGAGAGCAAGAAAAACAATAGCATGCTTCACATGTAGGCCATTTTCTTGTGATCTGCAAACTTTGCTTAAAAAAAAAAAAAGAGCCTTTCCCTGCGGTGTTTTCGACTTAGAAATTTTTTTAAGCCAAAATGTCAAGTCCCAGCCTGTGAGAGAAGAGCAAGCCACATCTGCCTTCCAGCACGTGCATGTGCACATGAACTTCGTCCTCAGGCTGGTGACGAGCCTAGTGAACCCATCTGATACTGTATGAACACCTGAACACTGCCACATGCTATTGACTACTCTACGTCCCTTAAACAATATTCTAAGCATACATCTGAACTTTTGCAAGGGATGTGTCAATACTTCGACAAACATGTAGCAATTAATGGCTATATCACAGCCCTTGGATTGTGGAAGCGCTGAAAGTATGCGGAAAACGGGAACCATGTTTTTACTAGCAACAAGCGTGGTTTCAAAAAGGTGTGCCTCCAAGGAACAAATCCTATATCCTTCATTGCTCAAAAGTAACAATCTTGTCTTTTCTGCACCCCAAAAGCTCGCCATAATCCTATTGAAGCGTTCAGAGGCATTATTTGCCTCATGGCTTGAGGATTAGCAGACTTTCAGTCAAGTTTTATTGGTTTGAACATCCTGTCCATTCGAAGTTGTCTCTCTGGATGGCAGCACCTATTCAGGGCTAATCAATTCCGCTAGATACGATTAAATCAAGGGGGATTTGGAAAACCAACAGGCATCGAACAATCGCCTTAGCAAGTGAGTGAGGACCTTCTCTGTGGCGCGCACGGACCATGGGGGCGACTTTTCAAATTCTTTTATAGAGATGAAATCCAAAGTCGCCCCAGTTAATATTTTAGCGTGTTATTAAATTTCTATGACAAGCCTTTTTATAGGATTAAGAACTATATATATTATGTATTACTGTATACTGTGACGAAAATTCTAAGTTGGGATATTTTTAAAAAGTTTCTCTTTGAGCTCGTCGAAGCTGACATGAAGAAGATCTTTGTAATCCTTGATTAATCCAGTGTGGTTTGCTGCACCAGGGGAACCACGCATGTAAACTATTTTAAATCCAGTTACTGGCTCTCCATCCTTTTTGACAACAAAATGCCCATCGTCAATTATGGCGGAATGATTACCTCCAAATACTTCGTCCAAATAGCTTTCAATCTGATTTCTGCCGTCGGGACCTCTCTTATCAAAAGCGTTCTGGATTTGCTTAATTTGTTTCTTCTCGTGTTCTTGGAAATTACTTATGGACACCTGGATAAACATTGTGTCGAGTATGAAATCAAAGCGAGGATAAGTCGAATGACAATGGCTCAGTACATGTCCATAGCCACGTCCAAGAGAAGTCATGCCTTGATGGATTGTCCCATGATCCTTAAAGTCCACTATAATCTCCGTTGGATTCACGCCGATAAGGTTTGTTGCTTTGAGAACGATTGGCTTGGTTAAAGTCAAAAGCCGGACTAGCAGTGCCAACTCGAAATCATCTCCACTCATCTCTCCAAGAATAACTCCCCTCAGGATATGCTCATGATGAGGCATATTTGTAAACGCCTGAAAGAGTGCTTTCTGCGCTGGGAGGCACAAGACATAGTTTATGGCTCCGCGGTTCTTGTTGAGACGATAGATAAGCCCTAGGTCACGGAAATCCCATTCAAAATCACTACTCTGCGAGTTGTTGCCAAGGAAGACTGTTGCAAGGCTTTTAGCGAACTTCTTCTTCGATTCATCGCTGCAAGATCTGTAGTACGTCCAAACTACAGTGTGAAACTCGCCTGTTCTCTCAGTTACATACGAATCAATGCTATTTCTTGTGAGTGGTCTTTCCTCAATTGACCGGATGAGGAACATAAACTCTCGTGGCACACGGTTTGTAATCCTCATTATATCCTGGACAATATCGGGTTGGTTCAGGTGGACCTCCAACCATTTTGAAAACACTGTCTCGGATAGTGGGCCAACAAAGTACAATAAGGTATTTCGAAGACTGCCTGGCATAATCTCCAATTCATATTTGGCATGGGCTGTTCCTGTAAATATCGCTCTAGATCCTTTGGATTCAGCTTCCCATCGAGTGAGATCCTTTAGATGGTTCAAGAACAGGTATTTATCTGGCACGTACGGCTCTTTTTGGAATAACTTTCCATGTTCGTCGATAATGAATAGTGTTTTGCGCTCCTTCTGTTTGAATAGGTCGAATAATGCGCGACCAGCCGCAATTGAGCAATCTATAACTTCAGAAGCGTCGAGGAGACTTTCCAGATCAGATGCCGTCAAGATATCCCTGTTGAGAGCGAAGAAGATCCTTAACAGTGCCTTTGCCGATTTTATTTCCTAGAGCTTGACGAGTAATTGGTTGGAATATCGGTTCAATTTTACTATAACAGTTCTTCAAAGTCTCCAAGAATTGTTCTTTGCGATCCTCCTCATAATCCTTTAGTCGTTGCTTAATCCCATTAGCCGCGAGCTCAATGCCTTCAATGTCGTCGCCAAAAAAAAATATTGAATTCCCGTGGCACACATCCGGTGGCTTTTTGAATCTCGCCTCGTAGCTCATTCAATTGTTGGCGGGCTGTTGGGTGGACCTTATTTATGATCACATCCAGTAGCTTATTGAAAATATCAGGCGACAGTGGACCAACATACTCGACATAGTGTGGTGCGTCTCTGAGAATGAGCTTTGCAAATCTTACCGTACTGCTAAACACTACTCTCGCATTATTTGAATTGTTCCAAGAGTTGAAAGTCTTTAGAGGCCATAAAACTGGGAACCTGTCGGGCGCAGACTTACTATTTTTCTGGAAATAATGCACCATGCTCATCCACGACAAATAATGCCTTCTGACTTCTTGACTGGAGTAGGTCACCCAAGATACTGCTGGCGCTACTCACAAAAAGATTTTCCGATGTTTCAATTTCGACCATTTCCTCGAGCTCTGAGGCTGTCAAAGTATCTTTGTTGTTGGATAAGAAGAGTTGACAGATCAGTCGTGATGCGTCAGTATTAGTGTCACAATTGTTAAGTTGATTAGCATCCGCAATATAAAGCACTGGCCAACCATGTGCATATGCCTTGGCCGCAAGGAACCATGAAATGTATGATTTGCCGACGCCCATTGGACCGTAAACATTTCTTGACAGACGACTCACTGTTCTCGAGTTCATTCCATAGCTTCATCATCTATTCAGACATAAAAAAACTCGCGACCTTGATAGCCTCTCGCAAAGAATATTGGGTTCTGACCAAGATCCATTGAAGTAATTCGATTCCCAGCCTGCACCATCAAAAGCGATTGGAACTCGGCGCGAGGTTCTGGTGCACACTTGTTATTTTCGCTCAAATTCAGTATATGTTGGGGTAAAACTACGAGTTCGCCATCGACTGCAATATATCGCTTCAAGGAACGACAGCGCTTCGTAAGGTGCTCTTTGAGCATATAAGAATAGCGAGACTGACGTGAGTATGGAATAAATAAATTTTCTCAAGAATCATCAAAACTATGAATGGAATAAACTCACTTTCTAAATCTTCGTCTTCTGTGTCTTCTAGGCTCCTTTGGGACTTCTTGGGGCTATTTAAAATCCACGCAATAAACTAACAAGAGGATAGTTAGATAGGAGGCTTTGATAAAAGTACTTGTATGCGATAGAGCAGTGGGGAGCCGAAATAAGCTCAAGCAAAAAGCCTCGCGAGAGGACAGTGAGAGTCAGAGTATACGCACGCACCATGGAGGCGACTTTACAAATTCTTTTTACAGATCAAACTGTGCATTTAACAATTAAGCACCATTTACCACTATGCCTACTACCGCCCTCTGAATAATTCTCTACAAATAGCAAGACTGGATATTTTTGGCTATTCTAGAATGATTTGGGCGATCTAAAAGTCCCATAAATATAAACAGATCTAAAGTCGTCAAGCCGCATCTGCGTATTTATCTCAATCTGGTCTCTCATCTCATCTACAACCCGACGCGGCACCCTTTGATAGGATGACGCTTAAAGTTAGAAGATGAATGGAGTAGAAGCTTCCTTTATTGATAACACTATCCAACACTATCAAACAATGTTTGCAAAGAATAGGCTTTTGAGGTCGTTGAAGCTTACATGTTCTACATCTGGCAACTCTGTAACGAGCTGGCGGTGATTCCCTAGGTTAATATCTCTACCACAAATGTAGACGATTCGGAATCCAGGAACAACTTCATCAATACCTGTTGTCGGGTCTTTTTTGGTGACAATAAATCCATCCTTTCCAAAATCAGCTCTATGCTTTCCACCATACATTTCATCCAAGTAACACTCAATCTGATTCCTATCATTATACACCACTTTGGGTGTCTTGTACGGTCGCTTAAATGCTTTCCTTAAATCACTTGAATCTCTGTTATGCACTCCAAACTCGCTGACAGACACCTGGATGAATATTGGTCCAACCATAAAGTCAAATCGAGGATATCCTGGATAGCCACGGGCCAAGAATTTATCTTTTCCCGGGCCAAGAGAATGTCGTTGCCTGCTTATAACTCGGTAGTCATCGAAGTCCAACACGATCGAGCCCTTAGGATCACCAACGAGGTTCGTTGTAGGGAGCACTATTGGCCTAATACTAGTGCAAATAAATGCATGAAAAATTGCTTGCTCAAATTCATTTCCACTGAACCTATTAGCCTTGAGTCGATTCTTTAGATCTTCTGGCATTCCCATTGTCTTGAACTGATCCAAAAGTGCTCTGAAGGCTGTATTGCATAAAGGGCGGAATAAAATTACTCCATCTCTCCTTAGACGGAACAAAAGACCCAGATCTATGAAATCCCACTTGAACTCTCCTTCGACAGAACCATGTAAGAACGCCGAGGCAAGGCCATTATAAAAATTTGTACGGGTCGTCTCGGATTTTTCGATGCTTTTGTAGTAGTTCTGGATGTTGTGAGAAAAATCCAACCTTCGGCAGTCTTCAAACTTCTCGAATGCCTCCTTAATGGGTAACTCTGGATTCTCTTCAATATAGGTTGACAAGTTCATCAGCTCTCGTGGTACAAGGTTCGTGATACTCCGTATATCCTCGTAGTCCGTGGATTGGAGATTGGGAGTATGCTTCAACAGATTCTTGAAAGCGTCATCCAACAAAGGTCCCACGAATACCACTGTTTTAAAGTCCTCCTTAAAGCTCGATTCCATGATCTCCAATTCGAATTTTGCATGCGCTGTGCCAGTGAGAATCAAACGAGATCCAGCCAAGTCTTCAGTCCAACTGGAAAGGTCCATCAGAGGTTTTAAAGATTTAAATTTTTCTGGTACTGGTTTGTCGAATCTGAAGAGTTTCCCATGTTCGTCAATAATAGTTAGAGTCTTCCGTTCCTTCTGCATGAGCATGTTAAAAACGCGTATGATAGCAGTATTCCATATGCCACCTTGAACACCATAGCCGGATACAAGCGTCTCCAGTTCGGCAGCAGTTAAAACATCCTTGTTCATCACAAGGAAACGCTCGATCACTTCCATATATGAGTCCGCTTTCTCACTAGTATCCAAAGTACCCGCATCTGATATGTAGAGGGTAAGCCATCCTTCAGCATATGCTCTTGCTGTCAAAAAATAGGAGAGAAAGCTCTTGCCAATACCCATTGGACCAGACAAGACTCGTCTGTATACGCACCTTTGTTCTTCTTCCATCTCGTTCCAAAGCTCCAGCATTTGGTGCGTGACGAGAATTTCAGAGACTCTATAACCCTTTGGGACTTGACCCAGGGATGGTATATCGACCCAACTACCAGCCTTCAGATCGTCTTTGAGATGTTCAAACTCATTACGTGGTTTTGGAAGGTATCTAGAATCCTCTAGCATTGCGATCCAAGAGGGTGGTAACGTGACCATTTTGCCATCAGAAGCCCTGTATTCTCTCCACCCTTCCTCAATGCGCATCTTCTTTGAAGGTGAAATATACTGTGGATCTAATTATGATCATCGTACACATACACAGTTGGTTAGTACCATAACATAGTCAGTCACCAAGTCGATCTATCTAAACAGCAAAAAACAAATTATTACCTTCATCCATTTTTCTCTTGAGAATCTGTTCCGATGACTCTAGAAAGATAAGAGAGCGCGGCAATGGCAGAAATGTTAGCATTTTGATCAGATCAAAGAATATATTGCTGTCAATGAGATATGAACGCCAGCTAATGGAGAGTCAGAGCATGTGTGCGAAACGCGAAACAGATTCAATCAGAAAAACTAACAAATGCATCAATGTAAACAGGTCAAATAAAAATAAAAATAAAAATGAAAACTGTGTTCTCAGACAACAGTGAGAGTCTGAGGATGTGCACGGAGCATGGAGGGGCGACTTTTCAAATTCTTTTATAGAGATGAAATCCAAAGTCGCCCCAGTTAAATAGTGTTGCCGAGATTCATCTCAACAACATAAAAAAGGGATAGATACACGTGACCGTGATGAGATAGCTTCATCAATTGAACAATTGAAATATCATCAGTCCATCAAGAGCTAATACATACCTCGCTGCGGTGGCTTGACAAAAACATGGATCGTTTTCCTTGGAAGTTCAGAATTAAATATCTCCCAAAGCTCCATTGACGCGACTGTAAGAGCCTCTTTTGACTCGATTTCTGACTCAACGACGATCTTGCCTTTGTCAGGGATGGAAACTTTATAGAGGGTGAGGTCCTTGGGCTTAACGCTTGGATCCACAGTAATATTGGGATAGATTGCTTGCTTGAGTTCATCGACAGAACTATTGGAAAGAATCTTTACAGAAAAACATGAAGCTTCTCCATCAACAATACAATAAATCTGTAGGCTGGTTGGTTCGAGGATTTCAGGGTCATTGGTGCTTGAAGACTCTTCCTTCGCTTCCCCTTTTCTTTCTTCTTTCCTTTCATACGGTTTAGTTCGAGGTGATAGGCATCGTGGTGATGTTCTGTCGCTTCCCATTGTGATTTCAAAAACAAGGGCGTAAATGGACGGAGGACAGAAAATAGGGAAAGGTTGATAAAAATGCTAAAGGATGATAATTCAGTAGCAGGATGGTTCAAAATTGTCTAGAGATGAAGTTGAGGGAGGAAAAGAAAAAAAGAAAAAAAGAAAAAAAAAAAGGAAAGGAAAGGAAAGGAAAGGCAATGAATGAAGGCTTGGAATAAATAAAAGAGCAAAATTGATGGGAGCAAAACTGGGGGGAAATAAGAAAAAAGTGAAAAGAGGATAAAGGAAGAAAAGGAAGAGGAGAGTGCAAAAATGAAGTGAAGCAAGTTAAAGAAAGGAGCGACAATTGATAAATCTGTTCCTTTATTTCAAGGTTGGGCTATGCTGTGTGTGTGTGAGAAATTTTTTTTTTTCTTGTTGCACAAGACGCCATGCGATTAAAGATTGAATTGGCCCCCAAGTGTGACGTAACATGTATCATTTAAATACACAAACACTATTCATTCTCTTTAACTCTCTTGTTTTAACCACACAATCGAAAGTATGCACACATTCACCCTACATTCATCCCACTATGTACAAGTCAAATACTCCCTCATTCCAAGAACAAGAAGCTGTTACTGATATTGTAAGTGTTCAAACGCGAATAATAATTTTTTTGTATCAGTGCTTTCTTGGTGATATCTAAGCAAAATTATGCTTTAGAGAAAACCCTTGACGCGTCAAACTTTAGGAAGGATGGGGAGAATGACAGCAAAGAAAGAAAAGATGGCAATGAAGAAAAAGAGGAGGATGATCAAGTAGATATCCCAGCAATTATATTAGCTGCCCCATAAAGTCTAGTTCATTGCTTGAGAGTAATAAAGAAAAAACTTGGCATTTGGACGTTAAGAATGGACTCAATAATATTGGTTTTGTGCAAGCCTGAGGGCGAAGTTCATGTGCACATGCACGCGCCGAAAGGCAAACGTGGCATGCTCCTGCAGACACTTCTCTGGGACCAAACGTGACATTTTGGCTGGAGGTCTAAAAAATTTCTAAGTCGAACACACTACAGGAAAGGCTCTTTTTTTATTTTTTTTTATTTCCAAATCATTTACACCACAGGGAGCTTTTTTTTTTTTTTTTAAGATGAGAATGATGGGAGGTAAATTTCGTAATGAATAAATGAGGTTGTGAATGAGAGCAAGAAAAACAATGGCATGCTTCACATGTAGGCCATTTTCTTGTGATCTGCAAACTTTGCTTAAAAAAAAAATGACAAAAAAAAAGAGCCTTTCCTGCGGTGTTTTCGACTTAAGAAATTTTTTTAAGCCAGTCCCAGCCTGTGAGAGAGAAGAGCAAGCCACATTTGGCTTCCAGCACGTGCATGTGCACATGAACTTCGTCCTCAGGCTGGTGACGAGCCTAGTGAACCCATCTGATACTATAAACACCTGAACACTGCCAGACTACTCTACGTCCCTTAAACAATATTCCTAGCATACATCTGGACTTTGCAAGGGATGTGTCAATACTTCGACAAACATGTAACATTTAATGGCTGCATCACAGCCCTTGGATTGTGGAAGCGCTGAAAGTATGCGGAAAACGGGAACCATTTGTGTTTTTACTAGCAACAAGCGTGCTTTCAAAAAAGTGTGCCTCCAAGGAACAAATCCTATATCCTTCATTGCTCAAAAGTAACAATCTTGTCTTTTCTGCACCCCAAAAGCTCGCCATAATCCTATTGAAGCGTTCAGAGGCATTATTTGCCTCATAGTTTGAGGATTAGCAGACTTTCAGTCAAGCTTTATTGTTTTGAACAAACACAGTAAATCCTGTCCATTCGAAGTTAGTCCCTTTGGATGGCAGCTATTCAGGGGATGCTAATCAGTTCCGCTAAATTATGGTGCAATCAAAGCAGATTTGGAAAACCAACAAGCATTGAACAGTCGCCTTAACAAGCAAGTGACCTCTCTGTGGCGTGCACGGACCATGGGGGCGACTTTTCAAATTCTTTTATAGAGATGAAATCCAAAGTCGCCCCCAGTTAAATATTTTAGCCGTGATACATCTCAAAAATAAAGAACCGTGTTATTAAATTTCTATGACAAGCCTTTTTATAGGATTAAGAACTATATTATTACTGTATACTGTGACGAAAATTCTAAGTTGGGATATTTCTAAAAAGTTTCTCTTTGAGCTCGTCGAAGCTGACATGAAGAAGATCTTTGTACTTTCTGATTAATCCAGTGTGGTTTGCTGCACCAGGGGAACCACGCATGTAAACTATTTTAAATCCAGTTAATGGCTCTCCATCCTTTTTGACAACAAAATGCCCATCGTCAATTATGGCGGAATGATTACCTCCAAATACTTCGTCCAAATATCTTTCAATCTGATTTTTGCCGTTGGAATCTCTCTTATCAAAAGCGTTCTGGATCTGCTTAGTTTGTTTCTGCTCGTGGTCGCAGAAATCACTTATGGACACCTGGATAAACATTGTGTCGAGTATGAAATCAAAGCGAGGATAACTCGAATGACAATGGCTCAGTACATGTCCATAGCCACGTCCAAGAGAAGTCATGTTTTGATGGATTGTCCCATGATCCTTAAAGTCCATTATAATCTGCGTTGGATCCTCGCCGACAAGGTTTGTTGCTTCGAGAACGATTGGCTTGGTTAAAGTCAAAAACCGGACCAGCAGTGCCAACTCGAAATCATCTCCACTCATCTCTGCAAGAACAACTCCCCTCAGGATATGCTCATGATGAGGCATACTTGTAAACGCCTTAAAGAGTGCTTTCTGCACTGGGGGGCACAAGACATAGTTTATGGCTCCGCGGTTCTTGTTGAGACGATAGATAAGCCCTAGGTCACGGAAATCCCATTCAAAATCACCACTCTCCGAGTTGTTGCCAAGGAAGACTGTTGCAAGGCTTTTAGCGAACTCCTCCTTCGATATCTCGCTGAGAGCTTTGTAGTAATTCTGAACTACAGGGCGAAGCTCGCTTGTTCTCTGAGCTACATACCCATCAATGCTATCTCTTGTGAGTGGTCTTTCCTTAATTGATCGAATGAGGCGCATAAACTCTCGCGGCACACGGTTTGTAATCCTCATTATATCCTGGACAATATCGGGTTGGTTCAGGTGGACCTCCAACCATTTTGAAAACACTGTCTCGGATAGTGGGCCAACAAAGTACAATAAGATAGCTCGAGCACTGTCTTCCATAATCTGCAATTCATATTTGGCATGGGCTGTTCCTGTAAATATCACTCTAGATCCTTTGTAATGAGACTGCCATAGATTAAGGTTCATTAGATGCTTCAGGAACGGGTATTTATCCGGCACATACGGCTCTTTTTGGAATAACTCTCCATGTTCGTCGATAATGAACAGTGTTTTGCGCTCCTTCTGTTTGAATAGGTCGAATACTGCGCGAGCAGCCACAATTGAGCAATCTATAACTTCAGAAAAGTCGAGGAGACTTTCCAGATCAGATGCCGTCAAGATATCCCTGTTGAAAGCGAAGAAGCGCCTTAACAGTGCCTTTGCCGATTTTGTATCCGAACTTTCATTTAATATCGCGGCATCTGGTATATAAAGGGTAAGCCACCCTTCCGCATATCCTTTTGCAGCAAGGAAATAGGATAGATATGACTTGCCAACCCCCATAGGACCAGAAAGGACTCGCCGAAATGAAAACCTTTGTTCAGCACTAATCTCCTTCCACAATTCTAGCATCTGATCCGTAATTATAAATCCCGAATTATATTCCTCAAATTCTTTCGGTGTGAGGCCCAAGGATGGAATGTGAACTTGATCACCAAGCTGATTATCGCTTTTCAGATGATTAAACTTATTACGTGCATCGGGCGGGTCTTCAGGATTCTCCAGCATTGCGATCCAAGAGGGTGGTAACGTGACCATTTTACCATCAGAAGCCCTGTATTCTCTCCACCCTTCCTCAATGCGCATCTTCTTTGAAGGTGAAATATACTGTGGATCTAATTATGATCATCGTACACATACACAGTTGGTTAGTACCATAACATAGTCAGTCACCAAGTCGATCTATCTAAACAGCAAAAAACAAATTATTACCTTCATCCATTTTTCTCTTGAGAATCTGTTCCGATGACTCTAGAAAGATAAGAGAGCGCGGCAATGGCAGAAATGTTAGCATTTTGATCAGATCAAAGAATATATTGCTGTCAATGAGATATGAACGCCAGCTAATGGAGAGTCAGAGCATGTGTGCGAAACGCGAAACAGATTCAATCAGAAAAACTAACAAATGCATCAATGTAAACAGGTCAAATAAAAATAAAAATAAAAATGAAAACTGTGTTCTCAGACAACAGTGAGAGTCTGAGGATGTGCACGGAGCATGGAGGGGCGACTTTTCAAATTCTTTTATAGAGATGAAATCCAAAGTCGCCCCAGTTAAATAGTGTTGCCGAGATTCATCTCAACAACATAAAAAAGGGATAGATACACGTGACCGTGATGAGATAGCTTCATCAATTGAACAATTGAAATATCATCAGTCCATCAAGAGCTAATACATACCTCGCTGCGGTGGCTTGACAAAAACATGGATCGTTTTCCTTGGAAGTTCAGAATTAAATATCTCCCAAAGCTCCATTGACGCGACTGTAAGAGCCTCTTTTGACTCGATTTCTGACTCAACGACGATCTTGCCTTTGTCAGGGATGGAAACTTTATAGAGGGTGAGGTCCTTGGGCTTAACGCTTGGATCCACAGTAATATTGGGATAGATTGCTTGCTTGAGTTCATCGACAGAACTATTGGAAAGAATCTTTACAGAAAAACATGAAGCTTCTCCATCAACAATACAATAAATCTGTAGGCTGGTTGGTTCGAGGATTTCAGGGTCATTGGTGCTTGAAGACTCTTCCTTCGCTTCCCCTTTTCTTTCTTCTTTCCTTTCATACGGTTTAGTTCGAGGTGATAGGCATCGTGGTGATGTTCTGTCGCTTCCCATTGTGATTTCAAAAACAAGGGCGTAAATGGACGGAGGACAGAAAATAGGGAAAGGTTGATAAAAATGCTAAAGGATGATAATTCAGTAGCAGGATGGTTCAAAATTGTCTAGAGAT